ACAGCGGCTTTAAAGTTCAGAGATTGTCCTGTCTTTATCGTCGCTTTTGTGTCTCCACTTTTTAATGTTTAAAAAGTATCAACACGCTAAAATAGGACAATTTCCGGGATTTCATTTTCATCCCCCAAGTGTGATGCGGGAACCGCGCCATAGAGCCACGGTCGTTTCCGCACTTTGTTATCGCTAGGATTTGACAGTGCTCAATCACAATGCAAGACACGCACAGAGCCACGCTCGCTTTTGCAATGCGCCGCATAAAGGAATGTCCAAACAGGACACGACTCCGACAAATCGTGAAAATTGAAGCGGGCTTGAAGCGGGCGCGTCCGCTTCAATTTTCACGATTTGTAGGAGTCGTGCGTTTTGTAGTGTCCAGTTTGGACACCCCTTAATAATGACATATCTTGTTGAGACGTGCGCACATCCGTCTTGCGCAGTGTTAGCTCAATGGCAGCACTTTCTGTAAAGGCGGATTCACACCGGGGATAGCAGTCGCGCGATCCAGCTAAATCGCATCGCAAAAAAAAAAAGAAAAAAAAAAGTAATTAGTTGGTCAATTTGGCGTGCGCGATGAGCGAGTTCAATGCCTTCGTTGGCGAGTCGCGTCTCAAAAACTCTCGCTCCGAACGCCGTTGGTTGGCTCGGCCTCTCCGCGACTAGAGTGCATCGCAAAACGTCGGGTCAGCAAGCGACTGCTCAAAACCCGTCACTTTTTGCCCGCGATGGTCGCTTTTGCGATGAAAGTTATGGCGCGACTAGATCGCATCGCCGGTGTGAACGCGCCATAATGTCGAACCAGTCTCACGGCGCGTCCCGATATTGGCTTGTGGACCTACGCGCGAGTAAAATATCTGGCACAATTTGCGTTTGCAAAGCCTGCTCCAGCCGCGTCAAAACATTCAGCCAACCTTTGGACTGCAGAAATCAAGAGACAACCAAAATAAGATAAAGTTGCCAGCCGAATAAAACTTGATTTCTATTTAATTAAGATGAAGACCACCCGCGTACATCAAATACCTCATCAGCCGAACTCCAAGGCAGTAAGCCTAGTTCTGGCACTTGTTTGGCACCTTTGGCCCGTCGCTGCCAGATCACAGCCAAACTATCGGGAAGCGAAGCCTAACTTGGGCACTCGCTTGGCGACTTGGGCCCAAAGATGCCAGATCTCAACCGAACTACAAGGTAGTAAGCCTAACTCTGGCACATTTGTGGCGATTTTGGCCCGAATGTGCTAGGTGACAGCCGAACTGTCAAAAAGTGAAGCCTAACTTTGGCATTAGTTTGGCGATTTTGGCCCGAAAATGCCAAAGCTCTGCCGAACTACAAGGTAGTAAGCCTAACTCTGGCACATCTGTGGCGATTTTGGCCCGAATGTGCCTGGTGACAGCCGAACTGTCAAAAAGTGAAGCCTAACCTTGGCATTAGTTTGGCGATTTTGGCCCAAAAATGCCAAAGCTCTGCCGAACTACAAGGTAGTAAGCCTAACTCTGGCACATCTGTGGCGATTTTGGCCCGAATGTGCCAGGTGATAGCCGAACTATCAAAAAGTGAAGCCTAACTTTGGCATTAGTTTGGCGATTTTGGCCCAAAAATGCCAAAGATCTGCCGAACTAACGGGCAGTAACCCTAAATTTGGCATTTGTTAGGCGATTTAGGCCCGAAGATGCCAGATAATAACCGAACTACCCGGGAGCGAAGCCTAAGTTTGGCACTTGTTTGGCGAATTAGGGCCAAGATACCCAGACTGTTGCCAAGGGAGGTCAGGTTTGGCACTACTTTGGCTTCTTCGGGCTTTTTAATGCCCTAAACTGCCAGACGCAAGCCAAGTTTTGGCCCAGAACTCGGTGCTGCCTGGGTACTTACTCAAAACTAGGCCAATAGTTTTTACAGCGGAGGTAACAACAATTTCAGAAGAGGAGGCACTCCTTACAGCTCTCCTAGGGAGGAAGGAGCGTGCAGAGAGATGCGCTCTGTCGCATGCATCAGAAAGGCACTTGAGAGAAGAGCGGAGAGTCGGGGGACTCTGTCGAATTGGACCTCTAGGCCAAACTGTTTGCATACCGCAAATACCTTGTCAAGTGATGATGAGGGTTTCGTGTTCTCGGTATATACTGACAAACCCCAAGAAGTAACCTCTGAGCCAGCTTTTATTGAAATCGGAGAAACCCGAGAAACCCCTGAATGAAAGTTATCCTTGCGCAGAAAAAAAAAACAACCCAGGTTTCACTGAAATAATTCTTTATTTACAGCTTCCTTTTGTGTTTATCATTCCAGAACATGGTCTTCACTCAACTGTCGGCAAGACTGTCTTTTTCTTCAGGCCATATCCATGGTCATATTCCTTTCTCGTGACCATGTCCATGGTCACATTTCCTTGTGGTCATGTCCATGATCACATTTCCTTCTTATGGCAACGTTCATGGTCACATTTCCTTCTTGTGACCACATCTATAGTCGCATACCCTTCTCTTATCGGTACCGGAATGTTTTCCAAGTATTCGGGTAACATTCTTTGGAGCTTGGGGAACTCCATGCCCATGTCCTGTTTCTTTTTTTTCTTTTTCAACATGAGCCTCAATAAACTTTGATTTCTCGTCCGTCACCGCAAATCGACACTAAAAAAACGCAGAATGTGAGAAAAGGGTAATGGTACTGGGTAGCTGGCGAGCAGTCATATACTTATAAAACCCCTTGTCTCTGGTTTTTTTTTAAAGTATGACAGAATGTGTGTCAAAAAACAAACCCTGAAAACACGGAACCATAGCAATAACTCATATGTTTCACATTCTATCATTAGGTAACATAGGTCCCCTACTGAGAAGCTAGTGGATGCCTTAAAATAGACTTGCAGTATCACAGAGACTAGTCTTTCCTATTGCACCGTACACCACCATCCTGTCTCACGTCTGTTCGGCAAGGAAGCTCACAGCCTCCGTCGGTGATGGAGCAGCAAGAGCAGCTGCGAGCCTGCCTCTTTCAGACACACTGATCTGACACATCTGTGTATGTCTTACTGCATTTGGAAAAAGTGTCATATAAACCTGGGGACAGTACTATTGCATTATAACTTATAAGAGTTACAACATCGTCTTTATGGTTGTCTTGTCTTGGATGCCCAAACCATTTGTTTGACGCATAAAACAAGAAACAGAAAAATGAGGCATTTAAATAGTGCAGTGGCTTGGGGCCTGCTGCTGTTCGTTTAAATTTTTGTTATAGTGGTCATGCCAACACTTTGAAACCATGGGGATATGGGTCAGACTTTTAGATTACTTTGTTAAAAAGTATCTTTTAGAAGAGGCATTCATTTGAAAGACATCTGAGCATATTGGATCGGGTTCTCAGTGATGTGATTGCTGCGCCAATTGCACCAAACTGCGCCAAGGGGCTAACTCTGCTACATCCTGCTACATTTCGCCAAAATATGGCTAATCTGCGCCAAGCCTGCGCCAAAGGACAAATTTTGGTCGCCTTTCAAAAATGAAACTAAACTGAGACCCGTAAGCGAGCATGCGTGAGCTAGGTGGCACAAGACGCCGCCTGACATAAAGTACCCTGCACCAATCGTCTATTCGGTCTTGCATGATTTTTCCCGCTGTCTCGCTATGGTCTCGCTTTGGTGGCTACCATAGCAACCATAGTCTCACGTTTCGCGCTCTCGTCGTCTCGGGAATCTCGTATCGCGTCTTTTTTTCTTTTTCTTTTTTTTAATTTTTTTTAGCAATAGACGTGGGTGTGTGCGGTCGCTCCGACGTTAGTTAGTGTGCCGGGTTTCAGACATGCCGTCATGCTGTGAAACGAAACCAGGTTTTTGAGCGGCGAGAATTACTTTGTTAGCTGAAGCGCTCGCGCGACCACAGTCGCCGTGGTCGCACGACGTCGTGGGTTGCCGTACCCACGTCGCTGCAGATATGGCGCTTTCTAAACTGAAACGCATCGACATTCCTGCTTTTGTTTCAATCATACACTGCTATAAAAATCCCTCTTTAACTCAATGACTGCTGTGTCGAAGTATTGATTACCTAGGTTTCTCTCGGTGAACTTTCTTTCGAGAGGGACCCCGTACGTGAAAAATCTGCCGCGAACGAAATTTTATGACTAGAAGTGAGCTAAAGCAAAGAAGGCAATATCTCCACGCTAAACCTGCACAGCGCGTTTGTTTGTCTCGAGTTCATTCGTTGCACAAAGCGCTCCAAGAACTTTATGACCCTGATTCGCAATGTCTTGTATCGATACGCTCAGCTTCTTTTTTCTGTGTGTTTAGCCTGTACCTCGCCTGCTGGCCTGGCAAGCACGTGCCGCTGGATTGTTTATTGTCGTATGCTGGACAGTTACATTTTGCATACTATTTTGGGAACCAGTTGGCGACGGAGCGGAGTGGCATGGTTTCGGTCGAACAGCCGTTGTCTCCGCTCGCGCGACGAAGCACCTGTAACTGCAAGCCTGCCGAAGTTTCCCTTAGGTGCATGTGAACATGATTGCATGAGAGGCACCAGCCGGGACGTTTGCAATCCATTGTTTTACGTTTGCTTACTTTTTATAAAAATCTGCCACGTTGGGAACCAGTAAAATAATAACAAGTTTTTTTGGTTTTTTTTGGAATTGCTCGGCAACGCTTACAGCACTGTATACTTGTGGGATGTCTCAGCAGCAAAAACACAAGCAGCGAATTCCGCCCCAACGCGTCACACACATCACAACACAACACAAAGTGCCCTTCGTTTGTCCAGAACTTAAAACAAATATTTATCTTTCTAAAAATAAATGCTCCAAAAGTCACTTTTCTGCTCCGAATCACTGTTTTGGCTGCTCCAAAAGCCACTTTTGCTGCTCCAAAACACTGTCTTGGCTGCTCCAAAGACCACATTTGCTGCTCCAAAACACTGTTTTGGCTGCTCCAAAAGGTGCTCCAAAATGGCTTAGGCCAATCACATCACTGGGTTCTCTTTGCGACAGTCTTATTGGAGAGAAGGCTGAGCCGAGGCTGTCATACTTTGCAGGACTGCCTCAAACTGTTTCTGGAGACGGAGAAGATGTCTGGAGAAGCTGCGTGGGACTGTCCGTCCTGCAAACAGAAGCGCAAGGCCGAGAAGCGCATGATCATCGCCAGGCTGCCCAAGATCCTCATTGTGCAATTCAACAGGTACATACTACCCTAGCAACACAAAGCCTGCTCAGGCTCACTTGAGCAGTTCATTATTTTGGATGTTGACGGGACGGTCACAAACCGTGGAATGGACGATGCCGATAAGATACAGTGAAACCTTGCCAATGTGTTTTTCGGGCTACCATAGAAAAAAGATGCATAATCCAGGAAGAGCTGATGAAGTTGCCTAATTAGGTAAGGGAGGAGTCGACAAAACTCTGGTGCTTGGGGAGTTTTCTAGACCACTCCGACCAAACCGTGGACTTCTGGAGACCCCTCTTTGAAGGCCATCTAATCTGACTGTTGGCTTGTCCCTGGACAGGTTCCGCTGTGAAGCTGCCTGGCAGAGCAAGAAGCTGCAGACATATGTGCACTTCCCTGTGAACAACTTCGACATGAACCAGTACGTGGACCACACCAGGTTGGAGACTCAGAAGAGGCCCCCCTACAACCTCTACGCTTTTCTCGTGAGTGCTCCCTCATTCTTCTGACACGTTTACTCGAATGTAACGCAAGCTTTTTTTTAACTTGCTTCCTCTGAAGTTGACCGAACTTCGCATTGCAATTGAACGGTTTCAAAGTTAACCTCTTCGGTGCCGTCATTTTTAAATGACAACAACCTTCTGGGTTTCTGTGGTTTTTCAGTCTTACACTGGCAACGTATACCTCCTGATTAGCGGTTCTCAACCACTGAAGTTTTGGGGACCCTTCTAGATCGGCGTAAGCTATGGGGGACACCATCCACCGGGAGGGTGGAGTGTGTATTGGATCATGACGACGACAAAAGGGTCGATGAAGGAAACTAAGCGTGTGCAAACCGATTGTAAAGCTCTTAAACGGGTAATAATCATTCCTCCTCGCTCAGTGCATGTGGTTTGGTCTATTCAGCTTCATGCATGAGATAGTCGGCTTCGATAGAAAAAAAAAGTTTTGGTGCTTGGCTTGGCTGATGTCTGGGATTTCGGTGACCCCAAGAAGGCCTTCAGGAACCCCAAAGAGTCTGTGAACCTGCATTTGAGAACCACCGCTCTGGATACTTGAGATGAGAACCATGGAATCCAGATCCAAATCCATCAAAACCGGCTGTTTGCACTATTCTCTCAGTGCTGGCTTCCGTAGCTGACCTTAAAGGGGAACTCCGGCGATTTTTTTAGCAACCTCAACTAACCATATTTTCGAAATCGCCATCTTTTACTCTTTCCGGTATGCTATTTAGTATCGCGAAATTCAAAATGGCTATTGTGAAATCGGCAAATGAAAATGATGCCAAAACAAAGATTCGAATAGTATACCCACGCTTTTCATTGCCGTGACGTCACGGGTGGGCCGGCTTGCAGTTCGAGTGGGCTGTCAGAAAATAAACTATGCCGATCATTTGTATTGTGCTCCTGCGCGGGAGCTGGGGGGACTTTCCAAAGCATTCATTTGACACCATAAAACTGTTTGTAATCAGTTGGGAACAAAGTCTACAGCCCTAAGAGTGAACCCCTGCCCACCCATTACGTCACTTGTTCAATGTTGCCAGTAGAGTTTTTCACTTTGAAACACACAATGAGGACTAAAATTGTAAATTCTGTAACTTTGCAAAAAAAAGTTATTTTTTCCAAATATTTGGGTCACTAGTTCAGCGATGTTTGTTGGCGTTTTAAGCAAGTTTTTAGGCAAATCGGGGACTATGAAGAAAACGACGGAGTACCCCTTTAAGGGATACTATAACGAAATTTCGGCGCTCATTGTTTGGTCTGTATGTGTTCAAAGGAGCAGCATCACATCGAACATACCAATATCTTGTTAAAAAAGTCACGAAAAAGAATTTTAAAACAAATTAAACGATTAGCAAAGAGCACCTGGCGGATGTCGCTAACGCCTCGCTTGTAATGCCCGTCTAGGAACATTGACAGCTAGTGACGGAGGTTGTCTCGCCTCCGGCCACGACGATAGAAGAGGGGAACGAGGAACTCCTCTCTTCCCGAGAATGCCTTTTGTGTGTCGCAGAAGTCGCTATTGTCCCCCTACAAGATTTTAGAAGATTAACCCGTCAGTCAAAATTCGTACAAAAGCAGCCGCTTCGGTGGCTGGAACGACTAGGCCATCCTCTCGACGTCAGCCTCGCCGTAGCTTTGCTCATCTTGAGACGACCTACGTCACGATTGCGTTGGATGTCACGTGGTCTCCGCTGGGCCTTCTCCGAGCGCTTGCCAGAGTGGGCCGTTTATAACAAAAAATACAGCCACCAGGCTCAGAATACAAACGTGCGATTGTCATTTACCGATATTGTGGATCACATTCAACCTATTTTTGAACACGACGGGAATATTTCAAATATTGTTGAAGTATCCCTTTAAGGCAACTCAATGGTCTCTGGCTTCTAGCATGCAGTATTGTTTTGGAGCTCTCACTGCTCTCGTTCCGGTCGGGAATTCTAACCAACCTGAATAAAATACTGTAAAGGTACTTCATTATTCCTCGGTTAGCCTCGTGTCACATTCGAGATTTAATTTTTCTTGCAGGACAATATCCAGAGTTGCCTTCTTGTTACAAACATGGTCATGCTAGAATCGAGTAAATTCGGTATCTGTTCAAGCGTGTAAATCATTCCCACTTAGAAGTAAGTTAGTTCTGCAAAAAAGGAAAGCTCATGCTTAGCATATTGAGGTCACTGGTTTCCTAAAGGGTGTATGTGTAACTAAAAGGATCTGTAGTCATCTGTTTGTAAAATCCAAGGAGATGTGTCAATGATCTGAGAGTTGCATCTTGTCTTTGCAGTCATTCAGCCATTGAGTGTGCCACTGCTATACATGTTCAGAGGATGACTCTTTAGCATGACATAACACAAAAAGATTCAGATACAGCTTTGAAACAGTGGTAGTCATTTCGGTCTTTTTTAGAGTTCCTGCACACTTACACATGCAGGTATGAGTGGGTTTGCTCATGGTGGTTTTCTCTCTCGGATCACTCATGTACATAGTGAAAACTACTACTTCCAGTGGGAGGGGCTGAAGCTCGCACATTTACATAACACAAAAGGATTAAAAATATTTACTTCCCCCACTAAAAAAACCGCATAAACTTAAATTCCAAATGAAAAAAAAAATAATTTTGTGGTGTATGGTTTTAGAAATTGATTATATATCCTTACACTAAATTTGATAACGATATGCCAAATGGTTACATTGATGTAAAATATTTTCAACACATTGTGAGGCAGTAACAAAGCAAAGGAGTACAAACTTTTGAATGCATTTTTCTCAGTTCCACTTTTTGATGCAAATTTCATGCAAAGGAATCTCTTGTTCGGAGGTAAAAGTATTCTAATACCACAATCAAGATGTTTTTGAATTGAAATTTACTGGGGAATTGAGCCATCTACTCAATTTACTTTTAAGTTGAACTCTTCATTGAGAAAAGTTGTTTTTAAAAATTGTCATAGGACGGATATGCATCTCATATTTTGAAGTAATAACTCTTCCTGAAATATTTGCATTTGAGTTATAAAATCTAAATAGCCCAAGGTCCCACATCCCCCACTTTATATTCAAGCAGTAAAAATGGTGTTTAATAGCTTCATTTGCATATCATAGATTTCTGAACAAAGATTGACATATCTTCTTAAGTGGGTGTGTAAATTTTTTTTAGAGTGCTGAAAGTTTTTACAGTACATCTACATCTGACATTAAATATTTCCAGAAAATTTAATTCCGATCACTTGAGTGGTTTTGAAGTTCAATCTCTAGCCAGTGTCCCCCCTTAAGGGGCTTACCCATATTTTCAGTACAGCTAATTGCACAAGCGTACATGTTATGCTTTCTGCAGATGTACCATAATATCTCGAGAAGTAGCCCACCAAAACTCAATAGCAAATCGGATGAAAATAAGGGCTAAGCTATCTCTCGGAGCGCCATAAAAAATAGTTGAAAGAATGCTAGTTATAGATTTTGTGACCCTCGAAGCTTGTGATCGCAGGAAGGGGTGATGAACCAAAGACGACTGTCGTTTCCAGTCAGCGGTGTTCACTTACCTCCAGCTGTGGTTAAGTAACACAGTTCTTGCCGAGGTCACCATCGGCCGGGGCCCTGCAATTACTAGAAGTGGGCTGTCTTTCGGTGTTTCAGAAAAAGTAGCAAACCACGCCAAAAATAAGGGTGGGCCATCTTTTGGGGGTGGGGCATCTCTCGGGCTATCACGGTAGTTATTATTGCTCCTTAGCTGCTCAAATTTTATCTCTCCTCTGAAGGAGAATTTAAAGTAATCACCTCAGCTGATCATTCTTCAGGGAAGCCTTTTTAATTTCACTGAAAACTGATTTTTTGTTTTGTTTTGGGGGGCAAAGAAATGCTCTGTTTCCAGAGAAATAAATAGAAAGATTTATATATGTGTACCATGAGAATCAATACATCTCTTCAGGCAGATACTGTCTGCATGTAGGTATCAGTACCAAACAATGATATTTCAGGCATATAAATATGGTTTAGAATTGAGATTAATTCCTTTTTGTTTTACTTTTTTTCCCCCTCTAGAATCACTATGGTACTCTGGCTACTGGACACTGTAAGTGCTTCAGCTTGGATCTTGGGTCTACAATATCTCTAGCTGCCAACTTGAAGTTCCTGTAAAGCTCACTACTTAAACTTGTCGTGTGCAAATGTATTGTATGCCGTATTTACTCGCATAATGAACGCACCCCCCACAACGGGCATCAATATTTTTACTTCTTTTTTCTTTTCTTGCATAATGAACGCTCCTCTAATTTTTGGCTCTGTGAGTCTCGAACTATGGCTAAGTCAAGTCAAGTCAAGCCAAGCCAAGCCACTCTTGTAATGGCTGCAAGTGTGTAGTTGCGGAAGTGACCAATTGTGGAACTGAGTGGCGTGCACATCTAACAAAGCTGGGGTCTAGGAATTGCCCAGCCCTGGACATGCTTCATCCATCGGACGCATTGATGTTAACAAACACGCAGTCGTCTGGGGTCCGCTTTCGGAAAAAAATCCTGAAAGTGGTTAGGCCTAAGAACGGCCGCATCGCTCTTTGTGCTGAGTGAGCTTCGTAGGGCACTTTTCCTTCGGCAAAAGGCACGCTGAAAGTGCCCTAAAAAAGATTTCACTTTGTAGAGTATAATATATAATTGGGTTGTGGGGATATTTATACAGCGTGTAGTTGGTCAGCCATTAAAGTTGCGACGAGTCACACGCTGTAGATGAGCAATTTAGCCAGTGCAGTACAACCGCTAGCCTGGGGTCTTTAACGTGCACCACGCAGTAGTGATACACGACCGCACGCCGGTACGATGCTCATCCAGATCGAAACAGGCAGGGGTGGGGCTCGAACCCAGGATCCCTGGGTTCTGCAGCGCGAGCTTTCGCTCCACGCGCGTCGAGCTGGGTGTGCGCTTCAGCCCACTCGGCCACCGATCCCCCACTTTGTAGAGCATGGTTACTGTAGAGCGCCCACGACCAGCCCTGGGTGTGCATCTATCAGTGGGGACATGCCTCATCACCTTGTCGTATCACATTGGCACCTAAAATGACATTTGCGCAGTGTGTAAATGCAAAAATTTTACGCTGCGTAATAAATGCATCCTTCAAATATTTGCAAATTTTTGGGGAAAAAAAATGTGTTCATTATGTGAGTAAATACGGTAATCAAAAAAGATGGAAAGGGCTTCAACATATCTTGACCTTTGTGAACATCCGAAACAATGGAAAAAGATATGGCCTTTTTTTTGTCTTTACGTTTTTCGTCAGTGCTACACATTACGGGTGAGAGGAAAGCTGAAATGTTTTTTTTTTTAATAAATGGGTTAAGGCTTCTTTTTGGCATAGTTATTCATAAAGAATCTAAGTATCACCATCATTTGACCTTAAAACAACACTAAATGTGAAAAAAATCAAGAAATATGTAGCTCCTCGTTGCTGTTGAACGTCATTGGTTGGTCGAGCCGTCGCGTCATAAAATGACCAAGCACGATTCTAGTTGCATCTTCCGCACCACGATCAACTGGCAATCTTTACCTCGTTTCATCTCCGCTTCATGTAAGCTCCTCGGATTCACTGATGTGCCTGCCTCTTCTGTACAAAGGTGCTCGGAACTGCTGGACTAGCAGCCGTTTACTGAAGATAAACCTCTTCTGTCGAGGACCTCTTGGGGGCCCACCAAAGTGGTGGGGAACCCCATGCCAGCAGGGGAAAAGAAAGGGGGGGTAACTAAATGCAGTATAAAAGGGCATCCTTTACTGTTATAGACAGGAGAAGTGAGAATCATTAAGTAAAAGGATGAATGGACCGATGGTAACGGCTGTACCCTTTATAACGGTGAGTGGCTAGTGCCACCTAGCTGGGGTTCAGAAAAAAAAACTTTATTTTTAAAAGAAAAGGGGAAGGGGGGGGGGGGGGGGGGGGGCGGGCTTTCATAGCTGAGGCGAGGGCTTGACGGACACCTAAAATGACTTCGTGGACCCCAGCAGCTCTGCGGAACCCCATTTGAGAACCACTGATCCAGAAGATGTGTGTGTACTCTCGCCCCGAGCGTAAATGATAAGGAGGCCGGAATGACCTTGTCTAGTCGGCCTCGCCCTAGCTCTTTCCCGAACATGCTAGGTCGCATGTCCGAGATGACGAGCATAGTAGGAAAGAGCCGAGCACCGTATTGCCGATTCATTCATTGGTTCTCTCTCGCGATAGTTTGCTGTTACGCCAACGTACCATCGCTTGCTGCTGGTGTCGTCAATGCTCGCTGCTGCTTTCTCGACGTGTTTTCTTCTTTTTTCATTTCTGGCACAAGTTTGCCCCCTTTAAATCTTTAGTTCTTTCCATTTTTGCCTGTCCCATTGTCTGTTATAAAAAACTCACTCTTTTTAAGAATGTTTGTTGTGAGGGATTTAAGCTTGCAGAATGTATGAGACGTGACTTTAATACCATTTTTAACCTTCCGACCTTCCAGATATAGCCTATTGCCGTGCTGGGATCGGGAGTTCCTGGTTTATGTATGACGATGCGTCCGTGACGGAAGTGGTGTTGTCTGAGTCAGATGTAAGTTGCTTTGTTTTCCTTTTTCTAGTGCAATGTGTCTCTTTGTCATTGTTTATTGTAAGTACAGTAATCCCTCGTTTGAATGAAGTCAGTGGGACGGCAAAAAAAAATTCTATATCAGCGGTAACTCAATAAAAGCTAGAGAGCCAAGAACACAGCGCCAGCAGCCTTGAACATGGACGGGAACACTGCGGAAGAGTGGAACACTTAAGACCGTATATTTAATCGAACAAACCTTGGTTATGAACAACTCGCGGCAGCTTTAGCGAGAAAAAATATAATTAAGTGGAGTTTGCAAATAATTTCATCCGGGCATCAGTTCTCTTCGAACAGCTCCTGTCATCTCAAGAACACTGTCACTGCCACTGCACTCCACTTTGTTTTGAAGCAGCTGTTGGATGTTTCGTGTCTCCGCAGTTGTTGGCATTTCCCGAGGTACCTCTTCGACGTCGCTTCGTGTTTACCCTGGCCGCACGCAAGGTCTACAATCGTAGCATCCGTGGCAGGAGCAACAACGGGAACGTCAGCATCAACAAGCGCGAACGAATCAAAGTTATCCTCGGTGGTCTTGCCAGCATGTTTTCACACACTCCTGGAAAGATCGTTGCAGCTATGGAAATCGTGTGCCGGCTCAACAAGCATGCTCACGAGAAAAAATTCGACGTGCGCAATGCAGTTGGCAATCTTTCATCTTGGGGTCGCAGGCACGCTTTCTCCTGCACGAGAAACCTCTCGAACCCGTCCAATATGCCTTGCTTGTTCTGCATAATGGTGGACAGTGTCAAACAACCGATTCCAGAATATTGAATTCTTTGGTGATTTTGAACTTGGGCCGGCCACTTTTCTCAACCTCGCGGATCTAAGTAACTTTCGGTAAACACTCCCACTCTTCCGTACGACGCACGTCTGCATGTATGCTGCAGGCGCGCCCGTGCCCGCACTGTCGTGCACGTCAGAGGCTCCCTAAGGGATGATCTTCTCCAAGCTCTATCGGCTCCATCGTTCCCTTCACTCAATTCCGACAAGAGTCGGGCAGCGCCACTGGCGGGCACCGTGAGTAGCGTGGTAACGTCGGAACGTGGATGCCGCTCCCGCTGCTCCCTGCCCGCATCGGCACATCGGTATCGGCATCAGAGCACGCAGCACTTTGTGCGCTCTGCCCTCTGTCACCCGTTTGCTTCATTTTCTTGTTTGCCGTGTTCCCAGTTTGCCGCTTGCTTCGGTGGAGAAGGGGGAGGGAACACAAGGGTCTCCGTGCATTTCTGTGTAGGCTTCCATGCTTTTGGCACCTCGGCCTTCATAGTAAGCGTGGTTGGTCGCCGATACACTTTGATTAATCCGGTTCAAAATGCGCCCATTTCGGTCGGGGCCGCATGGAATATCGATAACGGCAATATTTGGAAAAAAGTGATTTCGTTACCACGAGGGATTACTGTAGTTCTAATGCCGTATCACATTTGCCTATGCTTGGAGCACGAATTGTGCCAACTTTTCTCAGACATAGTTTTATCCTCGGTTTTATAAAAATAAACGCTGTAGCTGCTGCTGGTGGTATTTCTTTGTACTGAATTGGACAGTGTCAATTTTTATTTTTAATTTGTCATCCAAGATACTGTGCATGCTGAAGAGTTTAAAACTCGCATCCTTCAGCTAGTTGTATCTGTGTGTGCAATGACAATGCCCACAATGAACACTGCACTAAGTCGGCTACATGGCAAATCACGCCTGTTCCGAGAATGGGAGTGTAGTAAGCCCTTGTAATGGGCCCTTTCAGAAATTCAGTGGCACCTACCGTAATATCCCGAGTCATCGCCCACCCCCCTACCGCCTGAAATTCATTAAAAAAGTGGGGTGGGCCATGTCTCGGTGGGTGAGCACAAACACTTGAAAAAAAAGCGGAAAAAACCGCCTATTTTTCTCTGCGTATCTAGCGCTGATGCACAAGAGATACATCAAACTCAAAACTCGATTTAGTTTCGTTGTATTATAGAAAAAAATGCTCACGAAAGAATATTTTACTACAGCGAAGTCCGTTGCTTGCGTACGCGCTAGAGACACAACCGATCTGCATATAGCGCGAACGTTTGTTCCGTGAAAGAATGTCACCACTATGTTCTCCTAGTTAGTAAAAAAAAAAAAGAAAAGTCTACAAGAAAATAGAAAAACCGACCAGGCGCAACGAGCGAGCGAGCGGACCAAAGAAGCGACCAAGAGCAATGCTGGGAAAGCGGGAAAGCCGGCGGTCGCGTTGGCAAATACTTTGGCGTCGGGCCAAGTCGGGCGCCTTGTCAATTGCAAGCTCTTGCGCAACTTTCTTGTTTGGTGCGTACATACGTGCGTCCGTGCACGGCGGGCTATCAATGCACAGTTGGGACGCTCTGCAAACGTCTGTGTAGGGCGTTCCAGCAAAGCTTTATTTACGCGTTGGCTTCGCCTAAAATATTGCACAACCGCGGTCGCGACGGGCGGGAAGAAGGAGCGGGTTCGCGGTGACCTTACTTCGGCGGATACAGACTTTGACCTAACACTCCGCGGTTACATTAACAAACTCTTATTTTGTTTTCTCCATCGTTTTCTTTTCGCACGATACACGACCACTTTGGGGTCGCTCACGGAGGAAATGCGTAAACAAAAAGAAGTGTCTTTCCCTCCTTCGTTTTACTTTGTCACGGACGACCTCCAACTGTAAGGTCCGCGGCCGCGTCATTCGGGTAGGACGAGTGTTCACCGATCGCTGAGTTCGCGCTGGGGTATTTGAAGGGGTGGGCGATGACTCGGTGTTTTTTCGGAAATCGATATTGGCCCAAAAAATGGGGTGGGCGATGGCTCGGGGATGGGCGATGATTCGGGATATTACGGTAGTGGCTCAAACATAAGTCTAAATTTTTGTGCGCAAATGGCACTTCAAAGCTAGTAGCTACTGCTCTGTGGCAGATCTATGAAGATTATGGCTTTCCTCCTTTTACGGTTACCGCATTTGCTCAATTCTAGCGCAATCACGATTGTAACACAAAAAGCAACTTCTCGTTATCCCTCTTGAAATAAATAAATTACCACAATTTTAACGCGACATTGACGGAAGAATAAAAGAGTACCTTTACTTTAAAGAGATGGTGGGCAACACTGGCCAGGTTTGTGGGAATGATTTTCGCATCCTCATCATCACCGTCGTCGTCGCCTTCGAAGGTGGATTTCTTTTCGCTGTCTGATGCCCAAATGACATTTTTCTTCGCACCGTCGAGGCCATTCAATATCAAACACTTTTTAAACGCGGGAACAACCATGCCATGCGGGAGGCTGTACCACGGGACAGACGCCCATTCAGCGATTTTCGATGCACTCGGCCGCTTGATTCTTCCCGAAGGCGCCAAGGCCCGATCCTTGTGAGCGACGATCTCCGGAAATCTCTTCTCCGAATTTCAGTGAAGGTCGCGACGAGGCCCACGGGAGTCTTTCCAGTCTGGTTCACATTAGAAAAGCACATCCTGCCGGCACCCCCTTCTGCGAATTGTGGATTCGTTCACATCCAGCCGTCGAGCAGCGGCAGAGTTTTCCTGCTCTTCGGACACCAAAATTGCCTCGTTCTCGAATCTGGCATTGTACTGCGCACATCACGCTGCCTTTGGTTTGGTGCAAAAAGTCCGCCGCTGCGGAAGTACAATAGTTCGAACGTCGCCAAAGCACGAGAAACCAAACACGAGGACGGACAAATCCGTCAGGATGACAAGAAGAAAGAATGGCAGGCTTTAGAATATTTCGATAGATTTACATCTGGATTTGATGAATTTTATTTTAAGCAGCCGTATAGGTTATGTTGCCAGCATAAGGTTGAAAAAACTGCACGAATTTTGAAAATCGCAGTTACTTCCAAATGGCGGCACTGTCGAGGCCCCTTTTGCTGTCATTAGTTTATTATGTGAGGGGCAACATCAAATGAAAAAAATTATATTTAAAAAAAGTTTTAAAAAAGTAGTCAAAGCTTTAGGTCCTAACTTTCATGGTTGATTCAAAGGGGAGTTACAGAATTCATCTACAGTCCATTACAACTCAATCGATCTTTCCAACCATTATGCTTGTCCTAATTCTTTATCTAAATGTTCCACTTTGCCGGCTAAAATAAGGAACATAAAATTAAATAATCGTGTAAGATAATACGGTATTTAGCTGCACAGATAAAAAGACAAAAGTATGTCAACGTTCCTGCACAAACATACATTATTAACTGCTATTCTCGAAGCATGCAGAGATAGATAAAGAAAGAAATGCTAATGGACACTGGTACCATTAAGTAAATTAATACCATAACAAGCAAAACTGAAAGCTATTTTAGAGGTGAGATTGATTACTATAAATTTTTCTACGGTACCGAAAATCAAAAGTCAGCACCGGGGAGGGATTCATCGGAAAGAAAAAAAATGAAAGCCGTTTACAACTCCCTGTAACGCCGAATTAGAGCGCAGCTCTTGAGGAGGAGGAGGGAAGGGTACTGGGGGGTGGGTCAAGTGACCTCGGGGGGCGGGGGGTCACGTGACCTTGTGGGTCACGTGACCTTGGGGCGTCACGTGACGTCGGGGGGTCACGTGACCTGGGGCCACGTGACGATACCGATGACGTCATCAGTAGCGTCACTGATGACGCCATCAGTGATGATGATGACGATGCGGATGCCGGTGACGTCATCAGTGATGATGACGATGACGATGCGGATGCCGGTGACGTCATCAGTGACGTCACTGACGACGTCATCAGTGCCTATGACGTCAACGGGGGGTCACGTGACCTCGGGGGGGTATCCCCAGGTCACGTGACCCCAGGGGGGGTCACGACCTGGGTAACCATCGTGACCCTCGTGAGGGTAACCCTAGTAACCCTTGTGAGGGCAACTCTCGTGACCCTCGTGAGGGTAACTCTCGTGACCCTCGTAAGGGTAACTCTCATAACCCTCGTGACCCTCGTGAGGGTAACTCTCATAACCCTCGTGACCCTCGTGAGGGTAACCCTCATGGAGGTTACCCTCACGAGGGTTACTAACCCTCGTAACCCTCAAAAGGGTCACCTTCACGAGGGTTACCCTCACGAGGGTTACTAACCCTCGTAACCCTCGTGAGGGTTACAAGGGTAAGTAACCCTCGTGAGGGTAACCCTCGTGAAGGTAACCCTTTTGAGGGTAACTAACCCTCGTAACCCTCGTGAGGGTTACGAGGGTAAGTAACCCTCGTGGCCCTCGTGATCCTCGCGAGGGTAACCCTCATGAGATTAACCCTCGTAACCCTCACGAGGGTTACGAGGGTTGCGGTTACGCCGACGCCGACGCCGACGGCGACGCCGCTCAAGCCGGGAACGGGCCCCTAAGAGCTGCGCTCTAAAACACCTTGCGTTAGATTTGAGTAGATACGGTAGTCCTCTATCTATTGATTTCAGTTTTGATGGTGTCAAGAAACTACCACTCTGTGTAAGGTGCTTAGTAGTTGAGTAAAACCCAGATAAAATTTTCCACATTTTATTGTCATGAGCTGTCTGGGAAGTGCCGTAGGCGACCATTCCAAGAACCCGCATGGCAGCTTCAAACGCGTAGAGTACAGAAGCTTGTGTAAGTCTCGTCACGCTGACAGCGGACCGACGTCTGGAACGTACGGGCTCCTCATTGGTGCCTGTTTTCGACTTCTTTCTTGATCAACCACCATTAGAATGTGCTGATTGATAATATACATTTGGGTGGCGATGAGTATCGAAGTGGCCAGACTGAATTTTGAAAAGGGTCTATTGAGACACTTGATTTGGCTCGTTTGTGCTGTCCGACTTAGGGCATTGCCTGAGATAGGGGCAATCTTCATGGGACTTTGAGGCACAGTGGTCCACTCTCAGGGGGGAAAGGTTCCAACCTCGGGGGTTTCATCATTGTACAGTAAACGATCCTGTGAGCTTCAGAGTTTGGCACATGTGTTTGAGCTGAATGGCATCAAAAGTTTAGATGGGATAAAAACTCTTTTTTTTTCTTTTTTCTCCTAAATTTAGTGTAACTTTGGAGGAATAAACTCTGCATGTCAATAAAAATTGGTCTCCTCCTGACAAAAAAAAGAAAAAGAAATGTTTGCAATGAACGGGTTTTAGCTCCCCTTTTTATGGAAATGGTGGGAGAATGTGTGCTGAATTACATGCACAAAGTGTATGCATCGCTTTATTGTAGTGTGGAAGTCATGGCATTGTACTGACTGTCTTTCCATTTTTGCCTTGCATTTCAGAAAAAAAATGCTTATATTCTTTTCTACACGTCGGTGGACATCAAGCATCAGTTCACATGTGCCTGTTAGAGCATAGCATAGTTAATTGTTTCTTGCCTTTTTTTAGCCCCGAGGCTGGGGGCAGTTAACGCAGGTTAAGAATAAAATAACAGGTTCCGTTATAGTATTAAGGCAGCGACAATGCATGTTAAACGTGCTCGCTAAGACCAGAAGTCAGCATAGTGAAGGTCCTGTAAATATGTTTTGTACACCAGTGTAAATAAATATGTCTTAGGCTGCTATGGGGCATAGCATTGTAAAAAACTGCTAATGTAGAGATTAATATTATTTTTTAATAAAGTCTACTATATAAAAGTGATGGACATGCAAGTCGAGTGGGCATGTATATATGTATTTTAGAATCGAATGAAATAAAAAATATGATTGAAATTCGGAAGGCATTTTTGGGTTACTTGAGAAACTCCAAAAATGACAGCATGGATTTGCTTGCATTTCATAGAATGTGATAGATGATCCTTGAACGTACAGGTTCTGTTTTGGACACACCTTTTGTCGGCCTTGTAAAACATTGTAAAACTTGGAAGCATATTTACACATCAAAACTGCAGAGATTACAACAATAGCCTCTCAAACAGCTTCCAAATTACGTCCTCAGTACAATGGTGCCTGCCCTGTTGCTGAACTCGTCTAGGACCAGCAGGGTGGTAAGCAGAGAGTCGTGGCCAGTTGGTCCTAAGCAGTGTTTCATAATTAAAGCATTTCTTATTCCTCTCCTAGACTGTCCAGTTGCACCAACATTGTTCCATGCATACCGGCACACATTAACTGCCCTCTTGGACAAAAACATGCCAGTAGTAATAATAATGATCTTCATTTCTACCTAAGAGGGTTGAGGTGCGCTAGAAAGGTCGAACAAGCATACCAGTAGGCCTACCACTGTTCACTAAAGACTCTTATTCACCTCAAGAATTGTTGTAAAAAAAGCCCGGCTCCTTGCAGAACGTTGCTAATTTCACTTTTCTAATGTTGAATAAATATATATGTACAGTAGCTGTTTCTTAGGTTATCTTTATGTTATTTCATCACGACATACACGTTTTGAACGCCGAAAGCACGGTTTCTTCCTTTGACAACCATATCTAAGATCTATATATTGCTTAGTGCATGAGTAATACACAAAACTTCCTTTTTTTTATGTGTCAAGTGTAAAAGAAAAAGAAATGGGGGTGGGGTTAGAATTATGTTGTACAGTGGCCGAAGTTTTTAATAATATCACACAAGCGTCGACCGCCAAGCCGGCCAGTGCTTTGCCGCGGAGGGGTGCGGCGTTACGATGAGATTAGGTGCGTGCGCACAAAATCTTTCCGGTGCGAGCGTCGTCTGCTAGGCTATTCCGTTGACCGCACACAACCCCTGCTCTTTATATGCTGGCAGAGCTAACCATTTTTCAGCAAAGATCTGAACAGCAATTGCTTAATACTTGCTTTATATAGCAAAGTTGTTATGCCGTAGGATCTGCGAAAAAATTTGTCCGCGGATGCTGACAGAAAACTCCCCTTTGGTTGTGGCAAGTATGAATAAATAAAAATACAGAGGGGCAACCAGCGTAAGGCAGCCTTCCTTGGCATTACTGGATAGCGAGGTCCTGATCCCTCATCATCTCTAGGCATCATCCTCGAGGTCGTCCGAGTGGTCGTCCCAGGCGTCGTCCTCTAGGCATCATCCTGGAAGTCGACTTTGAGGTTGTCCTAGACGTCCTCGAGGTCGTGCTAAAAGCCTTTCTCGAGGTCGTCCTAGAGGTCGTCCTCTAGGCATCATCCTCGAGGTCGTCCTAGAAGTTATCCGAGAGGTTGTCCTGGGCGTCATTCTCAAGGTCGTCCCACAAGTCGTTCTTGAGGTCGTCCTAGACGTCGTCTTCGAGGTCATCCTAGAAGTCGTCCTAGACGTCTTCTAGGCGTCGTCCTCGAGGTCGTCCTAGAAGTCGTCCTTGAGGTCGTCCTCTAGGCGTTGTCCTCGAGGTCGTTCTTGAGGTTGTCCTATTAGTTGTCTTTGATGCCGCCCTAGACTTCGTCCTCTAGGCATTGTCCTAGACGTCGTAAAAATAACAGCTTCGCTGGTCCTCCATCTTCACGTGAAGTGGAAGGGCTCTACAATTTGATAAGGTATATAAAGCGTGTTCGAAATAAACTTTGCAGCTGAGTTTGAGACGTTGCCTCCTCTTTTACTATACTTCGTTTCACCTTATGTTGTACCGCAGCGAAGGCTAGAAGTGCGAGCTCATAGCGTTGGCAGCTGCCCTTGGTGCACGAGAGCTTGTGCGGCCGAGATGTGCCCTAGAGCAAGGAGCTCGCGCTTGTAGCCTTTCCTGCGGTACAACACAAGGTGAAACAGAGTATACCTTCTGTTGTGTTATCTTTTCTGCCCCAGTCTCAGGTTTACAATCATGTTCTACAATTTGTGTTTTCGGACACACAAAATAGCAACCGGCCACAAATTCAAACACGAAACATCACAACCAGACCGCAGAGTAAAACTACCATCATTGCGCCACTGTTTATGCCGCGCAAGATGAGTATCACGCCCGTGCTTGCTCTTCAGACATTTTGCTCTAGCAACAGATAAGAAAAGCAGAGAGAGAGAGGAAAGTGGGTGTCGGATAAACATTTATGGCAATCATCACCCTGCGCTCCTTTGCTACGGAGCAGGGGCTGTGTGCGGTCAACGGAATAGCCTAGCAGACGACGCTCGCACCGGAAAGAGCTTTGTGTGCACGCCCCTAAACTTTCCCGTATTGCCTCAGCTGCCCGGCGCTGACCGGCCCGGCAGCTTGATATTATTAAAAACTTAAGCCACTGTACTTGAGCATACAACATCCAAAATCACTCGATTATGGTGCGAAGACACCGCCAACCAAATACAGTGTTAATTTATTTTATTTTACTTTTATTTAGACATACTGCAAACCTTGAACAGGCTCCTGCAGGTGTGGGGTACCTACAAACAATAAAACTATACACATAAGAAACAAGAAACACATTGCAACCATATATTGCTTATACAACGACATATATATATATATATATAAATGCCATCAGCATAAGAAACGTTCCTTAATCAATGCCTGATATTCAATAAAAAAAATGCATGTACAAACACTAGGAAAGGGGAGCATTCCAAAGGTGTGATTCTCAAGAGCACCATTTTAGTCGGGGGCAAAAAATAAATGTCGCGAGGGAGGGCGTTCCAATTCGTCATAGTGCGTAGGAAAAAGGAATTCTTAAGAATGTTAGTTTGAGCGAATATTGGTACCAGAGAATACTGATGATGGTGCTGTGTTTCCCTAGATGATGATGGGGATAAATATAGACTTGATTCAATGCAGTCTTTTATAATAAAGTAAAGACAAAAATTTTAGTCTCGCAATTTTTTGACGATGCTGGAGTGATGATATATTGTTTGCCATCATTAATAAAGATGGGGAATCTTTATTAATATACTTTCCATAGATGAAGCGAATAGCTCTCGTCTGAGCCATCCCAAGCAGTGACGCATCCTTTTTGGTATTCGGGTCCCATGCTTAAAGTGACCAGACGTCCCGATTTAGGCGGGACAAACCTGCTTTTCTGTCCGCGGTTCTCCTGTCCCGCAAGCGTGCTTGTGGGATGATGTTTTGTCTCGCTTTCGGCTCCCCCGAACCCCGAATAGAGAAAAGACGCTGCTAGACGAAAAAATCGCACCAGTTAGAGGCTGCTTTTTCTGAACAATGTACAAGGTCCGCTTGGCGGAGACGATGCTGATACTATGGGCATGTTATCTGCAAAAATAAATACATTAATAATAAAGGAATATGCCAACTGAATGTATTAAATGTGCATGGAAAGATCTGTGTACGGTCTTTATGAAATACTGAAAAGGTATGATTTGTTACCAAAATTTAAGGTTTTCAAGCCTCACAACACTATCCCCCCACCCCACGTCCCGCTTTGGGGCCTGAGGAATGTGGTCACTTTACCCATGCTGTGTCAGCATATTCTAACTTCGGTCGGAGCAAGCAGTTATATGCTTGCAATTTAACGGAAGGGGCAGTGCTTCTAAGTTTCCGACGTAAAGCACAATTTACGAGATGGGAAGGAACAGATGTTTTGAGTGTGTTGTGACCAACGGAGATCGTGGGATATGGTTACACCGAGATGTTTATATTCTGTCACATCAGATATTACATCATTGTTTAATTGATAAGTGAACTTCAGTGGCTTCACTTTTCTTGTTATATGTAAATAAACAGTTTTCGTAAAATTTAGCTGCATTTTTTATGCACTTAGGCAAGGGAAGAATTCAGTGGCATTTGGTCGGCAACAGTAGATGTCCTTTTGAACGAAATACAATCATTGAGATAATAATATTTATATACGTTAAAACAACAATAGTCCAAGCACACTGCCCTAGCCCACGTAGCACGAAAACGTTCTGAGAACGTTCCGGGAATGTTCAAAATAACATAGACAACATTCTTGGAATGTTCAAGATTTACGTAAGAACATTCTATCAACGTTGTCAGAATGTGGCGCAGGCACTTATCGCTACATTCGGGGAATGTCTTCCAAGGGATATTCTTAGAACGTTCTGAGAACGACATAGAACATTACCAGGTCATTCAATCAACATTGAAACATCCTAACAAGGTTCTAAGAACGTTCTCAGAACATCCAAAGAACTTCTGCAACATTCTCTGAATGTTGCAAATTTACGTGAGAACATTCTATCGACGTTGTCAGAATGTGGCGCAGGCACTTATCGCTGCATTCGGGGAATGTTTTCTAGGTGATATTTTTAGAACATTCTGAGCACGACAGAGCATTTAATCACTATTCTAACAAGGTTTTAAAACGTTCCCAAACATCCAAAGAACGTCTGCAACATTCTCTGAGGAATGTTTACAAAAATTCAACAATTGTAGCTTGCTTACCTTACAGCCCCACTGAGCCGTACTACATTTATTGATATAATAAATCTGAAAGAGCGATCGATATTTTTTAATCGAAATATATATTTTTTTCTAGGCCTAGCACAACCTAGCCACTCTACCAGCGCATTAGCCACAGCCTGTACTATAACGGCAGTTTACTCCTACTTATCAAAACGTGCGGCGAACATCACCGATTACTCACTCCGAGCACAAGAACAGATACCTACGGCATCCCACACTTAAGCGGGACATACCTTATTCAAGGTATTGAATCCGAGATGCTAAAAATCGGGTCTATTCAAAACTGCCCCTCTACATACGCAGTGAGTGCCAAACTCATTATCAAATTTTGAAGACCATTGCTTTTCTCCTACACCTTATCTCACATTCCTCAGTACACTCGTACAAGATAAAACTGATCCCTTATGCTAAGTTTCCAAAACCTCGACTTAATTTGCATATTTTTGGCACAAGGTGGATGGTGTTTCGAAACGCAGGTTGCTTGAAAGCTCCGTAAAGTTGGCTTCACCTGCGAAAATTCTAGGAATGTTCGGAAGCAAACGTTCTAAGAATGTTGCACATATGAATGTTCAAAGGGGAACGTTCCGAGAACATTGTGCATACGAATGTTCGCCAACAAACGTTTTTAGAATGTTGAGCAGCTTACCTTGTAAGGAATGTTCGGAAGCGAACGTTCTAAGAATGTTGCACATATGAATGTTCAAAGGGGAACGTTCCGAGAACATTGTGCATACGAATGTTCGCCAACAAACGTTTTTAGAATGTTGAGCAGCTTACCTTGTAAGGAATGTTTGCATACGAACGTTCCTAGAACGTTCCGAATGGTGTTTAACGTTCCTTCAACATTCAGAACACCCAGGGAATGTTCGCACGACATTGGATGCTACGTGGGAGGGAACACCTGAGGAAACACCCAGAATACCGGAAGCATGACCACTAATGTCGACAAACTGACTCCGATCGGTATTCCAAGACACTAATTCTTAGAAAAGTTTGCCGTGTGGAACTACCAAAGTCCAAAAAAATAATATCGACCTGACCAGATTTGTTTAAAGTAGCAGCAAGATCATGGACTCTGGTGACAAGTTGCTTAATGGTAGATGAACCCCTTCGGAACCTGTGCTGAAGTGGTGTAAACAAGTTTCTCTCTTCTAAGAAATCTCGAGCACAGTTACTCACAATATGCTCCATAGGTTTGCACGAAGTACTCATAATAGATATAGGACGATAATTACTGACTTCTGAACGATCACCCTTTTTATGTTAGAGAATGTTACAAGGTCAGCCAGCAATATCGAGTGCATAATTAAGACATGACTTCAGAGACCGTGGGACTTTCCGGGAGTCACTTGGTTTGTTTTACTCGTGAGTGAAATCCCAGAGGGACGCACTCTCCCGAAAGATCGCCCATCCCACTGCTGAACACCACCCACCCCATCTAAGTACTTCATGCAATGCCCCGTTCCAATAAAAAAAAAAAAAAAAAGTGCAGGGGGCAATAAAATAGGCGTATGCACAAGATGCAACGCAAAGAGCATGGAGGACCAGCATAACCTGCTTCGGTCATGCAGCCAGCACATGAGAAATATAAACATCGACCTCCAGAAATCAACTCCCTGGAAAACTGAATTCCTCTCCCAGATACTTATCCACCGGACAAACAACATTGTGTCCTTAGCAGCCTCCTGCAGACTATGTCCTGGAGGCCAAGATCGATGCGTTTAGTGATCCTTCATCCCTTCCTTGCATAGGCGACATCCAGACGGCGGCGTCACCGATGCTTCTTCCAAACCCCTTGCCCCGTCTAATGGCTCTAATAAAAATTTGCTCGACTGACTGGCAATGGGGTTCCCCTCTAATCTGCCATGTGTCCAACGAGGTAGCATGTGTCCCACGAGATTGAAGGGACACTGACACCCCCCGAAAATGTTTAATATTTTTTCCAGGCGATCGAGTATGGTGTCAGAAGACTACCCCATCAATATTTTGCTACAGCTGCACGTGTACTTTTAATAAAGTAAAAAAACACAAGTGCTTGAAACCGAAATTGGAGTGGGGAGGAAGATGAAATATAGGAGAGGGGGGGGAGAGAGAATGCTACCGGATGTCACGTAACTGTGCAAACCTTTTTTTTATTCAACGTATTTGCAGCTTTTTAGAAGCCACAAAAATTGGGTATCATTTTTTTGTCTATTTTTAGTATTGAGTTTGTGCCTTCGATGACACACGACTTTGATTATCTTTGGTGGTTGTGTCTAAACCATAAAAACCGGCACGTGACCGTAGAGAAGAGAGTGAGCGAGCGCAAATAATGAATTTCGAGCCGAAAATTCTGGGTAGTTGGGCTCTCGTTTGTCACGTACAAATAAAAACCGTTTCGAGCATAAATACCCTGTCAGTATCCCTTTAAATGTTTTGTAGTCTCAAAATAGCAAAATGTGAAACTGAGAAAGTTCGAAGAGAATCCGTGCGACTACTGAAATCCATATTTTTATCATTTCAATCTTTTCTCACCACCCTGTGCGAAAATAACCAAATGGTCGCCAGTCACACGCGGCGCACATCTGTTTTAGAGTCACTATTGTTTAGCGACTAATGGGTTTCATTATTACTGATGACGCATATGTGCACGTGACCGATCTCGACAGGTTGTCTTGAAGGTGACGCATTGGCATTAAACGGAGTGTTGCGATACCATTTACCTTTTTCGGTCGAAGCGGAGGCGGATAACCACCTACCAAACCCGTTGAAGCCTTTGTTGCTGCGCTCACGAACATGAGATTCTAAATGAAGCTTGTGCACATTCCGCACATGCTGCCGCATGTTGCTGCGGCTATACTTTGTTTCACCTTGTGTTGTACCGCAGGAAAGGCTACAAGCGCGAGCTCCTTTGCTCTATACTCTGTTTCACCTTGTGTCGTACCGCGGGAAAGGCTACAAGCGCGAGCTCCTTGCTCTAGGGCACACCTCGGCGGCACAAGCTCTCGTGCACCAAGGGCAGCTGCCAACGCTATGAGCTCGCGCTTCTAGCCTTCGCTGCGGTACAACATAAGGTGAAACGGAGTATAGGGAACATCTTGGCGGCACAGGCTTTCGTAAACCAAGGGCAGCTACCAACGCTATGAGCTCGCGCGTCTAGCCTTCGCTGCGGTACAACATAAGGTGAAACGGAATATAACAAAAACCGCGCACCCAGCTCCAGCGCCAATTCAAAAGCGAAACTTAGTAAAAGCTCACGTGACTACAGTTGAACATTTGATGAATCAAATGCTCAATCTTTTTCTTAGCCTTAAATATTTAAAAATCACCGAAAAATGACAGCGAGCTTGCTAAATATTTCAAACTGAAAAGCAAAAACAAAAAATATTTTTGGCGAGAATATTTTTTAACAGTTGCCAACGCTGTATTGTGATCGATTCAAAATCCGAATATGGCCGCTTTCATCCGTGTTTTTGATCATCGAATGTCATCCTAGTAGTCGTGGCATCGCAATATTATGTGTTCCCTCGATGTTTTTATAAGAGTATTGTCCTAGGATATTAGATTATTTTAAATTAATCATGGCTGGGAACGGCGACTACTGCGATACTGAAGCTCTGAAGAGGTGAGTGTGTCGATTGTTGCTACCACCCTGGCGAAATCTTCCAACAAACGGCAGACTTCTAACGTTCCTAACTTGCTCTCTTCTGTTTATGCTCTCTCAGGATGTTGAGCGACTCGTGGGATGGAAACGCTGTCCAGTATTTGAACGTAAGAAAGGCCTTTACAACTGTTCATTATAAGCGCGCGCGCTTCGTAGACTGCGGATTGAGCTGTGCTGTATCCCTGTATCCTAATTCGCGCAATTATTTTCTTGACAGAAATACGAAATTGAAAGGACAGCCATGTCAAACCCACTTTTGCAGAGGCTTGAAATGTCGTACAAATCTGTCATTCTGGTACAGCGATGTCAGGTAAGTGTAAACACGACTAGACTGCGGCGTTTTGCCTCGTCCTTCATTTAAAAGAAGGCTGTGTCTGCAGTGCCGTCCGACGGTACTCCAATCGCGCCTACAAGTGCCGTCCGAAAGAGAGTCGGACGGCCCGTGTATCACTGGGGAGCGTGTTAAGCCAGTCCCCCCCTGCGTTTGATCCGCCTCGCCGCGTCGCGGCGACAGCATGCGGCTGCTAATTACAAAACTATTGACCCATTTGGCCCCGTCGTTCACACCGCTTCGCGGCGTCCAGCCGGCAAATCAAGCCCTGCTGTACCCCATGCACCTCCGGAAACGAAGTCCCATACCGTTTCGTTCAGCGAAATTTCGGCGACAACATTCGGTTTTTCCTGTGTTAATTGTAAAAAAATTAATGTAAATATCACCAAATGGATCGGCAAAATAAAATGTTCGAGAAAACAAAAACAAAAAAGTAAGCCCGCACTGGGAATCAAACCTGGGATCGCTCGCTTATGAGACAGACATCTTACCACTAAGCTACACTACGCTTCGAAAAACTCGTTTTATACGAGACTTTCGGACGGCACTTGAACACGTGAGGGGATTACCGTAAGACGGCACTTGAACGCACTGCAAGAGTGCCGTCGGACGGTACTCTAGACACTATGTTAAGAAAAAAAAAATACATGCGTTCAGATGACTGCATTATTCCAGAATCTCTTAAATATCAATTTAATTTAAACTGCCTGTTTTATATCTTTTTTTTCTTTTTTTAAGAGGAGTCTTTTTGGTGAAGGTAACCAGCACCGTGAAAGGGCCAGTAGACTCCCCTAATTGGCTTATTGCCATTGCATATTGCTCCAGAAGAGATGGAACTAGCCACCTCTGCAGATGACTGAGTGCATGTCCGGACACTGAAATCCAATAAATCACCAGATTTTGTATTCGTGTTTACTCAAAGTGGGAAATGCCACCTAATACATCTTTTCCTGTTAAATCTGCGTTTATTTACACTATGTACAGTTAAAGTCGAAAAGAAGCTAGCCATTGCTCATGGCGTTTGGAATCAGGCTATCCCTGCTGTTGCGGGTGCGTGCGTGCTTTTCTTGAGCCTCGTTTTCGTCTTGCTTGACTGCGATATATATCATATCCCCCTTCTTGATTAACATCCAGTACATAGTCTTTAAAGTGTGCTGGCCGCTTGATTTGGCGACCCCCTCGGGTAGTCCTTGAACCGGGGTCTGCCTGGACGTCCGCATTGTCGTCCGCGGTGTCTCTGTCCTGCACGTCAGCATTATTGTCCACGGTGCCTCTGTCCTGGACGTCAGCATTATTGTCCCCGGTGCATCTGTCCTCGGGCTGTGTCATTTGTGATTAGTCTATGTCCTCCGTGGCTGGGTAGATTAAGAATGGCGAAGCTTTTTCTTTGGCCTCTAGAGTTTCTAAGTGTGATCTTCTGGGGCGAATATGATCAACGTGTCGACGCTGAAGTTTTCCATCCTCCGTTCTTGTTTGAAATTATCGAATTCCTAGCGGTTTCATGATTACCGCGATAACCCATGCTGGTCTTCCACCAAAATTTCTGACGTAGACAGTTTGACCTGCCGAGTAATCTGCCGTTACTCCGTCCGTCGGAGCTTCTCAATCTTCGCTGATGGAACTTGAAACGGCTGAGCAGCTCTGCCGGCTTCGGGTCGTAATGTTCGTTGAGGACACAGAGGTTCGGGCGAGTTGGTTGCTCATGATGTACAGGGGGAACAGCGCACCTGGAGAACAGTCATTCAAATCAACATACACACAAAAGAAAGAAACACTTACTCAGCGCTGAGTAAGTGTTTCTTTTTTTTGTGTGTATGTTGATTTGAATGACTGTTCTCCGGGTGCGCTGTTCCCCCTGTACTTCGTTGAGGAGTTTCACAATTTCTTCAAACTCGACTTCCGAAGGCTTTTTCGGAGCTAGTAGAGCCCGCGCGGTGTCAAAGGTCGACTCACCGCATGATGTGAGCAGAACTGCTCGCTTCTTCACGGGGCTGGTGATGTCCTTGGCTTCAAAGTAGAACTCAAGGCGTTCCAACCATGAACTCCAGTTTCCTCCGGGGTTAAATGCTGGAATTCGTCCGTGAGAGCTGTAGTCTTCCATCTTCAGGGTTTGTGAAACTCTCTCGTTGCCAATTAATACATCTTTTCCCGTTAAATCTGCGTTTATTTTCACTGTGTACAGTTTAAGTCGAAAAGAAGCTAGCCATTGCTCGTGGCGTTTGGAATCGGGCTATCCCTGCTATCGCGGGTGCGCGCGTGCTTTTCTTGAGCCTCGTCTTCGTCTTGCTTGACCGCGATATATATCACTACCAAAAGTAAATAACAAAGTTGGGAGGACGCATCTGAAGTTGAAGAAGTGATCGGTACATCTCTGGGGGTCTCAGAGACTATTAGGCAGGTTTCGGCTGCTGGCAACATCGCCGTACTAGCTGTAGGTCCACTTCAGACGGTGCAGTTTGATTCAACAACTTGACGTCACAACACCAGCCACACAAGCTGCCCGCTTTCACACGCAGCAGCCGAATTGCTGCGACCTGCCATTATCATCCTTAAATTATATTTTTCTTGCACTTTATAGATGCACAGTTACACTCTATAAACATGTTTTTCTATCTTTTATATGCCATTGAGAATTTTATTTCTGAAACAGTAGTATATTCCCAAAAACAATCCATTTCAAACCAGAACCAAGTCTTCATTTGTCATCATCACCGCCACAGGGGTGTCAGATGAAAATATAGCATCCCTGATTGGCTGCTGCCGCTTCAAATGTCTCCGAGTTGCTCATCTGATAAGAGCCAGACCCGATCTGAGCACTTCATGTCGATCTAGGGAAAGCTAGAGAACAACCTGCCAGCAACCCCAAAATTACTGCGAAAGTTGCCCCGTCTGAAGCGGGCCTAACCAAAATTCTATCATCTCGTGACGTTGCTAAGATAATGATATAGGTTCATCACCGATCGCTGACTTCCACACTCACTCATTTGCACCAAATTGCACCATGAACGGAAGTTCGCTACATGTCGTGCCAAAATGCTCTTTTGCTCAACCTGTGCCAGGATGAGCTTTACTCTTTCCTGACTGCACCTGTAGGCCATTGATCACACACGTGACCGATAGGTTCCATTGATTACTTGCCGAAGAACTGCAGTTTGTATTTCAACGCAGGTTTGAGCTTTATCACAAGCCGTTCGGCTGTCAAAAATAGTCTTGGGAACGGTGGTTGCTTTTGTCTAACATGGCTAGCTGCTTCCATCAGTCTTCGTAACAAAGATGACTTCATTTCCATAATTCAACTGTATTGTGGCATATTTTTTAGACTTTCAGAGTTCTGGGGACACTTTAAATAATGTTATAGACGTTGCTTAATTAACAATGTTTTTCGGTAAGCATCACTATAATATTTAATGCCGTCCTGAGCAGGCGTGCACGTTTTATGTTCCCAACAGGGCAGACAAAAATTCTAAATATGAAGGAACTGCAATCAATGCTATGACAAAACAAAGGTAGAGCATTCTGCTGGGGATGTGAGGTGTACTATCTTTGTTTCACCAATATAGCAATCCTTCGTTGAAAAGCGCATGTGTTACGAAGGCTACCTCTCTGACTAACCAAAAATAGACAATGTCAGTTAGAGTAAACTTTCTTTGAAAAGTGATAGCCGTGAATGTGGGTTACATTCTGTATATTCTGAATTCTTTCATTTGTCGTTTAATTTGAATAGCTGTAGAAGTGTCGGCGTTGATACGCCTTCCGCACCAAACATTGTAATTTCAAAACAATAAATTTTTCAATTTTTTTTTTACATTATATTAACCTCAGTTTTTTTTTTTTTAAAGAACAACTAATTGGCCACACTTTGATGCATCATATTACTCCATATGCAAATTAGTTAAAAAAATAAAAGCATTTGCATATATTCTTTGAAAGTTACTACTTTTCCCAATGAGACTTCTAGACTTCCGGACGATGATGTCGGCCATATCGCGGAGCTAAAAGTTATCAGAAAAAAAATTAAGAAAATGGTGGTATGGTGGCTGCTGTGATCAGCAAGAACCAGGGTCTCATACTCCTGATGAGATCGCTTTCATCTCAGCCACGTACACGCCTCCACTACGTGACACTGCATTGCTCACGTCAACCTTCACTGCCTGGCTTCCCTGCGTTGTACCGGCGTGTTAGGTGAAGTGGGTTTTGCGGGGGAACAACCAGGGGTTTGGGCAATGGGCTCGGAAATTACGCTCAGTTCTATTACAGGTTGTTCTTTAACTTTAAAGAGCGGTGCCAGGAAAGGAAAGGGAAACAAGAAACACAGACTTATGTTTGAATAGGTGGTCAAGGTAGTTCCCGCATAGCCATCAATCGTGAACTTCTACTCATGCCTTACTCCAATGTCGCTTACCCTACCAAATTAGGAGTGTCATTTTTAAAGCCACACTCCAATTTTTTGGTCGTATTTGGGGATAGCAGGTTATGATATTACATTTTTGAGTTTTGTTGGATTATAAATCTTGGTGGAACGTATTTTGATTGATCGACATTTTATAGGATATGCTAGTTCTTCCCAGAATTTCACATAGGCGATATTGATAGGCTACATCGACAATGAGTGTAAAAGATGGAGTGGGAGAGACGCTTTATCTCAACTGAAGTATCTTGCTATAATTAATTTTTCAACCATTTTTTTCTTACTTTATATAAATGGAATTTACTTTGACTTGAGCCTTATTTCTAAAAAAGACAGTTGCGTGTCATGTACTTTTTATGAATAGTTATATGTACAGTCGCCGGCCGATTTTCTAGACTTTGCAGGGACCGAAACAACGTCCGGATAATAGAGCATTTCGAAAGATCAGCAGAATAAAAAACTTGCCTCAGTACACCTAAGCGGGCTTTAAAAATCCGTAAATATTACCTTGCTTCAGGTTACGCCTCCATTTGCGTTCGGCAACTTTCTGTTAGCTTGAGAATTGCTGCCTTCTTTTCTAGCGTTATGGTCGAGTACTTTCTGCGCTTCTTAGTAAGAGATCGCGGTGGCAGAGGAACAAATGGGGCAATGGCTTCCAAGCCAGTGTAGTCCAAAAACACGATTCACCGAGACGAGATCAAGATGAGAGGCACAAGTGACTGCAATGGCGAATGAACAAAGCAAATTGGAAACAACAATGATGATAATAATAATGCGCAGCTAGAGAGAAAGAAAAGCCGTACAACGTCACCTAGCAGTGGGACTTAGCAGTATTTAAGTAGCGCTGCCAAACCAAGCCAATCCATGTGCAGCCAACATAAAATCCAAAATGGCTGCTTCTCTTTGGTCAACCATTTCGTCGTTTACCCTGAGACTGGGGGGTTTTTTGAAGAGCAGAAGTAACAGAAAACTTCTGTTACTTCTGCTCTTCAAAAAAAAACCCGGTCTCAGGGTAAACGACGAAATGGTTGACTTCCACCAGCTAGCCTGTACTTTGACTCTTTTCTCTTTGGCGTTTCCCGCTGATTGCTAGCGACGATTTTGTCCGAAAAATCTAACTTTCGGACTTCAAGCTGTCCGAAACATTGGTCGTGAATATGCACTGTTTCTGTCGGGTAGGCAACAGTTCTTCCTTATATCGAAAATATTGAACAAGTCCGAATTATCGGCGTCGGAAGAAATGGTCAGCGACTGTATTATAATTCCAAAAAGTAATAAGTAGTATACTTCAATATCAAAGATGATTCATAAATTATTATCAAAGATTGTCTCCTTTAGTGACGCAATCATTATTTGACTCTCAGTTGATATGCTAACATGTTGGGATCTGCTGCAAAAGAGTAAATGGCTGTTTCAAACCAACATTTTGCCTGCTACGAAACCTGCTACAAAAATTAAAATGCCGCTTTCATCACTGGGAATGACAGTGAGACCTCCTTTGGAAGCCCTGGCCATGGGATCGCGGCCAGTTCTGGTACTCCGGTTGGCATGTGGGGATACTTTTACACTTTTTGACTTCTTCACAAAGAATGTATATTTTGGAAAAAAATAAGTCATAGTGTCATACAATACTTTGATTTAAACTTGAGAAAATAATGCGCTCTTCTATACAAATTGTCATCGAGATCAGTATTGCCCTGTATATCTGCGGATCATCCACAGATATCCGCAGTAAACTGGTGGATGCTGATAAAAATTGATCAGATTTGGCAGATTGCTCATTGGATGTGGACGCAGTTCGGGTGCAAATATCTGCGGGTCTGGGTTTACATTTTTGTTGAGGCAGCCCATAGACGTGTGGGACTGCATAGTGTAGAGTGATAGTAGAAAGGTGCATCATCGAATGTTTTGCAGGAGCAAATTACTCTCTTAGAAAAAAAAGTGCCAATTGGGGAGAAACTTGTTTCAAGCGGGCGGGCGGGCGGGCAAGCGGGCGCCCGTAAAAACCGTAGAACAACCGTGAAAAAAAAAGTGGAGGATGGCAAAAGCAAGGGGAAGGGCAAGAAGCATGCGTAGGGAATGCAGGGAGTACCCTCTGTTCGAAGGGTAGCGTGCACTCTTTTCCCGAACACAGCAGCTGTCACTGCGCGACTCGTTAACCCCAAAAGTAAAAAAGAAGTCTTCGTCAAGTCCAGTGTGTCCACAACAATGGTTTCCTTATCTTTGTTTATCTTTTTCTTTCACCGTTTTTGCTTTGCCCGTTTTTTTTCGTTTTTTTTTTTTGCTTTTCTCTTTTTGCTGCTTGAATTTGGTGAGGTTTCTTTTTTTGTTGCTTGCTTAACTTTATTCTATGGATCGACAGTTTTCTTTTATGTGGCTCGCTTTTTCCGTTTTTTCATTTTTGAAAATTATTTTTGTGTTTTGTTGCCGGCGCGGTGTGGATGTCGTGGCCAGGTGTAAACGATCGCTGCCAGCACCGTCCAGTAAATACGTCGGTGTTTGTAATCTTCACCCACTAAGCTCTACTATATTTAGGGGCTCTTAGAGGCTTTATTTGGTAAGGCCCCATTTGTCGCAGCCTTCAATACTAGCAGAGACGCGTGGAAAATTCAACTGGGGAGCTTAAGTTAACATATTTTTGTATATCAAATTATAGATATATCAAACTATTTTACGATCCCCTTTGAATTCAATATATCCGGGTTTGACTGTATATCATGTTTTTGACAGAGCCAGCGATATGGAAGGAAAGAAGCGAAATTTGGGTGTTGATCCCTTGCATTCTACTGGGCGAGTGAATGAAAATGGTGGCCTTCCCTGCACAGTTGGGAGCGGCCTTAAAGGGCAACTCCACTTCATTTTTGTTTTTGAAAAAACAATGCAGTTCTCTTCAGTACCACCTAGGAAGGCCACGTGTCAAATACTACGACCTAGTTCTGTCTAAATATTTCTTACACTGTCCGGCAAACTTTGCAACTCGCCAAGTTGCCGAAATCGGCTGACTCGAGTGGACGAATTGAGGAGCAGCCAGCAACGCAGTCAAGGCTATGGCGTGGGCGTAGCCAACATTGAGCTAGACGTCATCACCTTTATGCTTGTTTTTACTTCCCCGGGCAAGCCTAACGGGTGACGTCAGCAACGTTTCCTCTTGGCGCTCAGCGGTGTCCCCGTGATTGGTGTAACACGCCTGCGTAATGCGCGTCTTCGGAGCCATCCGACTGTCTTGCCGTGGTAATAGGGCTGTCTCCTGTGTCACAACCGCCGTCATTGATTCACCGTTTGTGATTATCGTCTCTCGGGCTTTTGTTCACACTACGGATACTACATGTGCAGACTTATGCCGCCGTTGTGCAGACGTCGTCAAATGTCCTAGACACCAGAACGTGAGATAGAGTGTAGTGCAGACGACAGCTGCGCCTGACACGTGCCTGCCCCGATACCGCCCGCTGTTGCGTAGAGGATCTCGTACCACGTGATAGCCATGTTCTCAGCGGTCTTAGGCCAATGTTGCCAGACGGAGCCAAAGTTTCGGTTTTGATTTCTGCTGGTGTTTAAAATTAGATTGAACAGTATGTATTCCATTTTTCGCGAAGCAAATGATAAGTGTCTTTTAATAGTGCTTTTTAATGCACTATTAAATGCACTATTAAATAGTGCACTATGCACTATTAATCTTCGGAATTGAGCCGAGTTGCCCTTTAAAGGCCAATGCACAAGCTGGATTCCAGGCCAATTCCAAAATCCCTCTTCAGTGTTTTTTGTGCTCCATTCTTTAGTTTACTCTTTCTCCTTTTTACCCGAATGCTTAGTGCCCGAGAGCTAATTTCCGTGGAAAGTAGGCAGGGTTTCCTCTTCTCTGGTTTGATGTCTGCCTTAAGAAGAGTGTGAGACAATCTTGGAAATTTGGCTAAAAGATGCTCCAAATGAAGCTGCAATGGACAGCAGGGAACCTACAATGCATACGAAGAATCATTTCACACCTATTGCAGTCGAATCTCGTTTATTCAAACCCTCTTAATTCAAACTTGTGTATAGTTCAAACTTACATGCAGGTTCCATTTTATGCATCTCTATGGGAGGAAACTCCCGGTAGTTCAAACTTTGCTTTATTCAAACAAAGTTTCGGTCCCCCTTGAGTTTGAATTAACGAGATTCGACTTATTTTGCAAAAGTGCTACCTGGTTGGGCACCCCTTCTCCTCTCATAAGTTATGCATTTGTGAAGAGGCAAGTGCCCACTGCATGGGGGGGTGATTACAGTGTTGTGTTGATTGTTGTCTTATTCTTATCTGTTGCATGGCTGTTGTTGAGGCAGTAAGACTACAAATAGAATTCAGAATACTCTTGGCTACCATACTGTTCTCAAATGAGGTGCAACATCTTGCGGGCATGCAGTTTTCTTTGCTGCGTAGGGTATATTCTGGGGCTTCCTGTCCTTTCTCTTTGCGTGACTTTGCTGTGCTGTCCTCTCTCCAGCAGTCTAGGAGAATGTCTCGCTCCAAGTCAACCTCCTCTACTCTGTTCATCGATGACACATCCGACTCGGAGTGCGAACTGGAACTAACCGGATGTCCTTTGGAGTGGTCAATGGAGCCCAAGAGTTTTTCCCTCCTTGAATCTCCGCCCTACGAGGACTCGAGCAAGAATTCCGAGTCCTCCAGCAAGGACAAACTTCGAGCCCTTCCTGCGGATGAAGCAAGGTGAGGGCCACAGGGAATCCGGCAAGTCTTTGTGCCGGTGAAAGGTGGAGAGAGCCTGTAACTCGGAAGAATCTTTGATCACCATATTTTAAACCTCAACTGATTGTTTTATAATCTTCTGTTTTCATATTTTAATTTCGGCTGTGTATGACTAGATTTCGTGCTACTAATTCCTCGGTTTCGTACACCTGCCACTAGGTGGAGTCAAATTGCCTGGTGGCAGATGACGTGAACTTAATTTTTGGTGCATGTTGGCTTTTGAAATCGAGAATGCTGGCTAGGTGGCCGCTACCCGACTCAAAAGAATCAGCCGTATTACATTCGTCCATCCGTCAACTCGGGGGAAATGGAAAGTCACCTTGGTGGTTTGAGGCAACGCCCACAGATCCCCATTTGGCAAGTTGGGAGGCTTGTTGCAGGAAAGGCGTCGTGTAATCGAGATTTTGGTTGTACATGTCAAAAGATCCTCAGGTGGTCGAAATGAATCTTCAGTACTTCGTTGGGGCGAGTGGGACAGATGTCCTTCGTTGGTTTGGCACGTGAATCCTCCAAGTTTGATTTTCGGGGGAGATGGTCCAGTCATGTTGTGATGATGAGCAGTGTGTTTCAGTGGTTGCAATTTTGAGTTTTTTGCTGTTCATTAATTTTTTTTATTTATTAATGCTTCAAGAAGCACATTTGGTATAGTGAAAAACACCTAAGTTCTTTAGATTAAGTGCAGCTTGTCAGAGCTATGTTTTTAGTTTTTATCTCAAACCCTTTATTTATTTACTGACTGTCTGAGGCAGGGTCAAATACACAAGGAATAGTTTTGTAAAAACCTAGTTAGCCGTGGCAGCTCCCCGATTTTTGTGCATAAAAACAGCGATATAGGTGTCGTGTCTATTTTTTGTTTTTAATTAAAGTTTTATAGAACGTAGCAAAACATGTCCACACAACAAGACTGGCCTTAATTCTGCAAGGTACTTCCTTATTTTCGCGAGAAAAAGTCGCGTCCGCGGGAAAGTTGGATTCTCAATTGCACTTCAATGCAACTTTGAGGGCCACGGGAATAAAGAATGGAACCTGCTACACCGTTAATATTTTTATGTATAATGTCTTAAAATGAAATGGTAGCACAGGTAGTGCAGTTCTTTGGGCCAAAATTTGTTTTTTGTCTGGAAATTTAGGGCTCTCAAAAGCCTTAATAAGCCAAGGTAAAGCCAGACTTGACCTTCCCTGGCCAGACTCTGGGTATATTGTCCCTAATTTGTCAAACCAGTGCCAAAGTTAGGCCCCATTGCTGGTAGCTTGGCTATGATCTGGCACCCTTGGCCTAAATTGTCGAATAAGTGCTAGAATTAGGCTTCTCTTCTGGTCATTGGATTTTTGTGCGGCAACTTTAGGGTCTAAATGTCAAACAAGTGCCAGGTTTAGGATCCACTGCCGGTTTTTTGGTGTCTACGTGACCTCTTTGGCTCGAGTCTGGCACTTTGGCAATTATACGTGGCAAGCTGCCGAAAAGCCGTTGAAACGCCAAAAGACGAGTACTGTGGCACCAATGCCTAGGAGTAAAACCGTATTTTGTCCAAGTTAGGCCCCTAGGATTGCCGAGCTCATGCCAAGTTGGGTGTTTCTCTGGCGAGTTATTTGGGTTGGAGGTGGTCCATCGAGGTAGGAAGCTTCTGGTAGCGTCATGTTGCCTCGAGAACCTTCCTACCTCCATGAGGTGGTCGCTCACTGTAATGGTCGGCGCGGTTTCCCCAGGACGCTGCTTAATGCGGTGGTGAGCATGCTGGGCACCTGCGGCTACGTGACAGACACGGACCCCGTGTGGGTGGCCTGCGACGGCACGGACCCCCAGTACACGGCCTTCCTGGGCTACCAGAAGGGGGGCGGGCAGTGCTCGCGGGTGGTTGTCACCTGCCGCGGTGAGTCGCCTGCACGTTATGTCACGAGCACGGCGGGAGTCTGACCTGAGCGGTGCTTGGTGTAGACCGCTGGTCTTCGAAAGGGGGGAGGGGGGGGGGCAAGCCTTTGCTCGTCGGTCAAGACAAGCAATAAAAATGTTTGTCTTGTGCGCAGAGAAATGCTGATTTTGATGTTTCTTGCACGACAATGAAAGAAGTCAGTTTTACGCTAGCGTTAAGTTGTAGTATTCGTTTATTCCCTGACAAATTTTGTTGCGAGTACAGCAAGCGTTTGTCGTGCCAGAGTTGAACAAACTGCTGATTGACGCTGTCGAATGTAATAGAATGCCATAAACCAGAGAGCTCCTCTCCACTTTAGAATCTTGGCAGTTTCGAATATGACGTAAGGATGATGGAAAGCACTGATGCAAACATAACTGATTGTTGCCGGTTTTCTGACTGTCGTGGTGTGGGTGCCTTGCCTTCCAGGACCCATTGAAAGCAAGGAGGACTTGCCAACATTTGGCTGCATCCAGAGGAAACATTTCTGGGGATTGTCCCAGTCTCACTCTCACGTGAGTCTCAGGTGTTCCTCCTTTTGCCCGGCTAAGCGGAGACCCCGGTTTTGAACATTTTTCGGTCATTTTTGTTTTAATTTATAATAAATTTTCATATCTACTATAACTTATTCTGCTAAACACAAAGAGAAGCTCAGTTTTTCCAGCTACCAGAATTACCAGCTACCGCAAGATATACCAAAATGTTCCGCATTTCCCACTGTCGTAAAATTCACAATTCAACTCATGGCGCTGCTGAACAACGGGGCATGGGGAAGCGCGGAGGTAGCTGGCAATTATGTAAATCGCGGAGGTAGCTGGTAATCGTGTAAATTGCGATAGTACGCTATTTTATATCCTAGCATTGCGAGAAGCGACCGTCGTTCTTGCAGGAGCACCGATGTGCATGTGCCGTTGTGCCTCTCCCCTTGGTAGAAAAGTAGTGCAAGAACAAATTGCTAGCGGATCACAGACGACAGCGTGTTTGTTGACATCAATGCATCCTATGGATGAAGCACGTCCGGGGCTGGGCAATTCTTCGACCCCAGCTTCGCTAGACGTACGCGCTGCTCGATTTCATGAATGATCCCTTCCGCAGCCATGCCAATGCAGCCATTATAAGAGCGGCTTGGCTTGGCTTGACTTGGCCTGGCCTGGCCGCTGGGCGGCAAAAGAAAATTGACTTCAAGACTTGAGGAGCCGAAAATTAAAAGTGCGCTCATTACGCGAGAAAAAGGAAGAAGTCCAAATATTGATGGCCGTTGTGGAGGGTGCATTCATTATGCGAGTAAATACGGTAATAAGCTTTTGGACAACACAGAATATTAAATACGTTAGCGGAGCCACATTTCGGGGTGTCCGTGTTAATAAGTTCCTTTTAAGTTCCTTTTGTCATACTGTCCTTTTACCCCCCCCCCCCCCCCCCCCCCCCCCCCCCCCACCCCCACCCCCCTCCCGGTCAGCGTGTCTCGTACCTCGCCAGCAGGAAGGTGGTCACCCTAGTGAAGCTGCCATTACTTTAGTACACAGGAGGCAGGCGACTGCCCGAGTCGTCTCGCACAGTCTTGTGTCCTGCACGTGCGAAGCTCCAGCAAGGCTGTTGCATGTGCAAGAAGACCAAAGTTAACTCGATGCATTTCAGCAGCAGTGGCGTAGCCAGAGTGGCTAGTGGGATCACTCTAATAGAAAATTTTGTAGCTAACATTTTTTAGACATAATAGTCTTGTTGCACCCTCTAATTTATGAGGTAATAATCCCTGAAAAAAAGGTATTCAGGTTCAACTTCTAGATCAAAAGATACCTTAAACAAAACTGTGTTGTTGTGACAAAAAAAAAAAAAAAACTTTTTAAAACTTGTTTACATACAGACAGGGTATGAAATTTTTAATCATTGTAACCATATCTTCAAACTTTCAGCAAAGTTCAACAAAGTTCGGCTTGTGGAGAGTGTTGCCCGACTTCTACACAAAAATGTCAATATTTCTGAAGCAAAAAATATTATAATGTAGTTTAGTTTATATATTGTGAAATGATTACAAGTATTTATACAATACAAAAGCAAAGATATGCACTTTTAATGATTTAATTAGTTTGTTGATCTGGCGGCAGGAGGTGCGGCAGCTCGTTTTCGGTCTTGCACATGCGCACGAAAGTTGAACGTTGGTCAAACTCTTGTTAAACTTTGCATTAAAAGTTTGCAAAAGTCAAACCTTGTCGAATTCGAACATCGGCAGGTTTGCGCACACCTAACTTTAAGTAAAACTTCATTGACACATTCCTAGAATACATTTTCTTGGCTGTTACGCTCACAAACAATGGTCCCGTCGAACACCCTTAGGGATATGTATATTTATTTCCAGTTTGTCATTCTTGCCTTCCCGGCTGTTACGTCTGAAAACTGCTGACTGACATGGCTGGTGCGAAGCATAGGGCTATGTCGCTCTCTTTTTTTTTACAGCGGAGCTATTAAGGGCTAGTTTCCTCAGTTTCGTGTCTGTGGACAAATAAATCTTGACGCAAAACTCTCGACAGCTACCGCCATCTATGAGCGGCGACAGCAACCTTTCCAGCCTTTCCACTCTGGCTTTCTCCAGAGTGGAAAGGCTAAACTTCTCTAGGCGTAGTCCTAGAAGTCGTTCTTGAGTTCGATCTAGTCGTCGTCCTTCAGGCCGTCCTAGACGTCATCCTTGAGCTCGTCCGAGAGGTTGTCCTCGAGGTCGTCCTAAAAGCCATCATTGAGGTCTTCCTAGATGTCGTCCTCGAGGTCGTCCTAGAGGTCATCCTAGACGTTGTCCTCGAGGTCATTTTAGAGGTCGTCCTAGATGTTGTCCTCGAGGTTGTCCTAGAAGTCATCCTTTAGGTCGTGCTAGACGTTGTCCTTCAGGTCGTCCCTGAGGTCGTCCTAGGCATCGTCCTTGAGGTTGTCCTGGACGTTGTCCTAGAAGTCGTCCTTGAGGTCGTCCTTGAGGCCATCCTAGACGTCGTCCTTGAGGTCGTCCTAGACGTCCTCTAGGCGTCGTCCTTGAGGTTATCCCACCATAGTACAGCTGTGTTGGTCTTCCTTCTTCACTAGAGTGGGAAGGCTGAAATTTTTGCTCTCTACCTCTCTGCACTGCGCCTCTTGCCCGTTATTGCCTGGGTGGGCGTAGCCTTAATTTAACCAGGCTTTGAAGAGACTTGGGCTTCGCAACAGCCCATTTATTTTTCGTCTCTTTCTCCGGTGCGGTGCATGAGTGCTCTTCTGCCTCGACGCTGCAGTCTTGGCGCACCAAAGCTCAGGGCACGTGCAGCAATATCTCCTGCTGCAAATTCCGGGAATCCTAGGCTTAATCCCCACCCTTACCCATTTTGATCTGGATGAGCATTGTACCGGTATGCGGTCAAGTATATTACTGCTGCGTGACGCACATTGAAGACCCCAGGCTGGCAGTCTGCCGCACTGGCTAAATTTCACGTCTACGGCGTTAACCAGTGTTTCCATACCTCAGTACCTCAAAGACACACCAACCTTCCGCTGTCTAAATGCAAATGTCAATTTTTTGAGTGAAGCTCTTAGGCTTCCGTTTCCGGGTTGAGCGGCGTTGGGGCCGTCGGCGTAACTGCGCGCATTGCATTACGGGACGTCTCCCCGCCAAAGTTAGCGGGGAAATTTTCTTCCTCTAAATTTAGCGAGGAAATCGACGTCACGTGACCTCAACACCAAATCAGTTTTCCCGCTAAATTTAGCGGGGAAAATGATGTCACGACTTTGTGTCACGTCACGCATGAACAAATTCAGTGGCAGGAGGAGAGGGTATGGAGGAGAAGCATGCTCTCCCCTCCGTACCCTCCCCTCCTTCTCGTCAAGAGCTGCGCTCTAGTTTCGCATTACAGAGATTTGTAATTGTCTTTTTTTTTTCTTTCTCTTTGTTTGATTTGATTTAGTTGTGTTTTTTTTCCTCATTCTCTCTCTTGCCCTTAGTGCTGGGCATATTATATCTTCTTTCGTGTTGTCGTTTCTGTGCCCTATATTCACCGTTTTAGATTGACCTTGTTCCCTCTGCCGTAGTTCAAAATCGGGGCCTGGTGTTGCAGACAACAATGCAGGTGAATGCAAAGTACGACGTCCTGCAGCACTATGATCCGTCCCAGCGGAGCAGCAGCGAAGACATGATGCAGCTCGACTGCTCCTGGAGCAAGGCCACCGTGCTCCAGCAACCACCCACCGCCGACGCACTCTGCAACCTGGTACGTACGGCCCCTAACGCAGCACGGACCGGTTCCAAAGCAGTTTATTAACTTACAAATATGTTTTTTTTTTAGTTTAATGTTTCTTTTAGGTAAATGCTTTTGGGTTGACTTGGGAGGTGGCTTTGCGTGAAACCACGCAACTCTCTTTTGTTTCTTGTTGTTTTGCAGACGATCCAGATCCTACCAGGCAACGATCGCAGTCCCACCAGGTGCATCTACAAGGAGCTGCTGTTCCTCAAGGTGATGCCTTGACCTTTGTTAAGTCATTGCCCTTGTTCGGGCATTCAGGGATTGCCCTACAAGCTTGCAAATGGGTTGCAATTTCTCTATTTGAAAGGAAAAATCCTGGCCTTGAAAATTGTTCATTCACTTGTCTTCCGACCTAGATTGTGACCTTGAATTGAGGTAACTAAATAAACACAGTCGATCACGATTATATCGATCCCATGTATTTAGAAATATTGTCCATTTCTAGCAGGCAAGACGTCCCTTTGAAAATCCAATGAAAAAGTATAGGAGCTTTGTGCGGCTGTATGGAATACCAGTATTTGGGACATTATGTGACATTTTGCCCTAGCCACATCGAACAGTGCGCTGTGCTTTTGGTAGGTAGGCTTTCCCTGAACACTGCTGTTTTTGCTCCCGTGATCGGTTTGCATGCACCGAGGCTGTGCAGGGAAAATTGAAGCACGTTCCAGCCGATCGCAATATTATTTTACTCTAGCCCCGGTCATAGGTAGCGAAAGGGGAAAGGAATCGGAGGGGAAAAGCGACACTCTGCCTTGACTCCTTCGCCCGAAAATAAAATGAAAAAAAGAAAGCCTTTAGTCGGTGGAGCATGTTGATAATGTTTGTTCAGTCGTGCTTTGAAGGGCTTGTTTATAATTTTCTTTTGTCATTTTTGTTTGGCCTCATTTTTTGCATTGCAATTTTTTTTTTTGCCGTTTCTTTTTTTTGCTTGAATTTTTTTATGAACTAAGAGAAAGTTGCTTAACATCCTGCTCCTTTTTTTTATACTTCAGGTTCCTCTTGTATTGTTTATTTTTGGGTTCAGTGGTCTTTACTGTTGAGGTCACGGTCATGCGCACGCAGCGGCGTAGACTTTCCATCTCCCCCGGGGGGGCAGGCTGAGAAGTTCTCCGGGGGGGGATGGGGATGGGGGGGGGGGGGGTGGGGGGGGTGGGGGGGGGGTGCTGAGCATCACCTTTTCGCCAGAACTGGACATTGAAGCTAACGAAAGCATGCTGGGATTCTATTTCTCATATATTTTGTCAATAAAGGCAATGTGGGCATTATTTTGTTTACATGCCACTACTAGAAGCTCGTTACATGGCATGTAAACAGCGTCTCGGTAAGGATCATGGCCCAAACCTGAGGGGGGGGGGGGGCTCTGCCCCCCCTTTCCCCCCCTTTCCCCCCCCCCCCCCCCGATCTTATTGGGGGGCACGAGCCCTGATGCCCCTCCAAAGTCTACGCCTACGTGCGCACGCGTTAGTACAGCAAAGTGCACGCGCGAGCCGTGGCGCTTGCTGTTTTTGTCAAGGTTCTACCCTATTTTGTGCTTCTTGGATGTGCTGTTTGGCATGCTCCCGCTTGTCGTGGTCTTTGGTTTTAAGAGATGTGCAGGAATTTCAATTAGTGCTTAAGTTGACATACTTTTGCAGATCAAATTATCGATATTATCAAACTATTCTGAATCTGATATAATTGAAAAACTGTAGTTTGTAACAGATAAAAGGAAAAATTTCTGAAAACACTTTTTCTTTGAAGTTTTTACTTTTCAAATTTATCATTCCTGTAGAAACGAATTGGAACAAAGCCTAAATTTGTGACAAGTGCTTTTATAGTGTACAGTCTTAACTTTTGATTTTGGCAGTGATTTTTAGGGGTGGTCTCAACTAGCATTTCTGAGCAGAGAGGGACGGTGCAAGACGTGCGTGACCTTTTTTTACCCGCAGAGGCTTGTGGACAGCCTGAAAAGCGGAGAAGTCCTGTGGGCGCCGGACTTGGCTGGACCACCATTCTTGGAGAAGGTGAAGGCGATGCTTAAGGGTGGGTGCCATCTCCATCCGCTCGGTTATTTGTGACAAAGAATGAGCTCGACACGTGTGTCTTAGTCTACTCGAGGGTCACTCGTGCCGTCCTACGAACCAGAAAGCCCGACCACAAGTCTGGCTCGTGCTTCGGTTTTGAAGTCTGGTTTGTGCGCTTTCCAGCAGACAGCAGCTACTCTATTGCTCTGCCTCCCTTTGTGTTATTTTTATTGCTTGTTTCGAATTTTCACTGAGAGAAAAAGGTAATACGACCTCTACGCGGAGGTCTGTTTCGGCTGATGATAAAATACAGAGATTTTACTTGAAAGTGCCAAGTGCTCTGCCATTTTTGATCATGAGTCGTGCCACCTTTCTGATGACTCCGAAACTGAATTTAAAATAGGCAATTAAACTAAAGGTTCGCTTGTTGTTTGCTGCTCTCCACCTTCCTGAGTGTTTTCAACGGTACCACACGGTGAGGAACTACTAAATGGACCAGGTATGGGGATTATCAAAGATACATGTATCTTCGATACTATCTTTTGATACATTTTGTGTATTGGTATTAGGTGTCTTTCGCCAGAAATTAAAGTGTCGGTGTGAAAAATACATTTTTAGTGTATCCTTTATTTTCGCGATACTCAATACTCAATAAAAAGGATGTGCCGCAGATTTTAAAGCTGCTGCGAGTCAGTCTTTGGGCCAAGCGTGCTCGCTCAGGCAGTAGCACACTGAAAAAAGGGATGGGGTTGTTCGTGGCGAGAAGTTCCATGTCGGCCTCTAGCGGAAGCCCGGCACAACCCAAAGTGAGGACTGCTGACGCTCCTGCCGCCGCTTCAGAGCTGAATAGGCTTTTGTTCAGCCTGGCTGTCTCGCTAATAACTTCTATGATAGCTGGAAAGGTTGCCGCCATCTACGAGCGACGGCGGAAACCAGACTGGTTGTGTGCTTGCCGCCGTCGCTTATAGATGGCGGTAGTTGTCCAGGCAGGTTCGTGTCGACATACCGGACACGATCCTGGGGAACCTAGCCCTTAACAGCTCCGCTGTAAAAGAAGGCTTTGCTAACGGTACCCAATAACACTATTGTGTTCCACTCTTAAAGGCGAAGCTGAAGCGTCTCCTAAGTTTTTTCTTTTGTATATGGATGGTAACTTAAACCTTTTTGGTTGCTTGTGCTGTGCCACCGGTGACAGAACAATAACAATCCACCACACCGCATGCGATCATGTTGTGCCGCTATAGCATGCGCAATGTAAACAAACTGGGCATACTCGCATTCTGGTTATCATGTGACATTCATGTGCTGCTCAGTGGCGCACCCTTGCGTGGTTCTCACCATGTATAGTGCTCGAAGAAAGAAGGGGGGAAAAAGGGGAACTGGTGTTCTTCAGCCCTATTTCAAGTTCCGGTGGCTGCCAACAGAAATGGAAGACATATGTTGCCGTGCTCAGGCACTTACAGAACAAGCTATGTTGAATTTGTCAGCAGGTCAAAGGTCACGCACTCTTCCACACATGTCACACAAGTCAATAAGGTCGTCAGCTCCGGCAGTGTCAAATGCATCAACTGATGCATTCTTTTCGTTTGGAGAAGCAAGCTCTACAACAAGCTGTAGTTCTCGAGAGTCACTACTAAAACTCGAGTTTCTTAAAGGAACACTGACAGGGCATTTATGCTCGCCAAGCTTTCAGGTGTACATAACACATGAGAGCCCAACTACCAAGAACAAAATTTGCGGTTTGAAATTCTTTTTTTTTTTTTCCCGAAAACTGCCGATTGAGAACTGGCCGGTTTTAGTTGCGCTCACTCTCCTCTTTGTGGTCACATGCCATTTTCAATCGTTTAGACACACACACCTAATATAATCTAAGTGGTGGATCATCAAAGGCACACATTCAATAGAAAAAAATATGATACCTATTTTTATGGCTTTTAAAAAGCTGCTAATATGTTGAGTGAAACAAAAAGTTGCACGGAGAACGAGACGCACTGAGTGTATTCTCTGCCTAATTTTCAACAGGGCGTCAGGCTCCCGAAGCAAGCGGCGTTCATTGAAAGCTCGTCGAGGGCGCTCTTCAAAAGTTACGTCACGGTGACGTCAATATGATAATCACCCACTTAGCGTTTTCGCGCTTCCACCGCCGTGTTTACGACTGGCGCTAATATCGCTCGGCGGCTCCGCGCGCGGTTATCAACGGTCATCGGTGCGCCGGGCGCGCGTGAACGCTTGCGCGTCTCCGAGTTCGATTTCTCCTAGCGTTCTGCGGAAGGTGGTTTGCTTGGATCGGCGTACGTAGAGCATAAACTTAAGCTTGAACACTCGTGTGTTCTCTCAAGGGGATGCCTTGACGGTACTGTGCTGCGAAATGGTGCGGGAACTCCAACAAATCTAAGAACTTGGCGTTCTTCCTATTCCCGAAGGATTTCCAAAGCGAGAGGTAGGTTTGGTTTCGATTCATTGATTTCGGTTCTATTTGCTCCAACTCTATCCCGGAATGGAACTTCCGCGCTTTGCTCTTTCAGCGGCGCAAGATGTGAGTAATATCCCTGTCAGACGGCGTCCTAAAGATCCTTTTCACTAAGCTACTTTATAAAATCGGCGGAACCAGCGCACGCCGTAGAGCACGTGCGCACTCCACATCCCGAGACACGGACAGCGTTCCGCTGTCCGTGTCTGGCGTGTTTTTGTGTGTCCCTTGCCTCCTTTTGCGTTCGGATATCAAGAGATATACTAAGAGATTTTGCTATTTCAGGTACAAGAAGTGGGCCTCCCATGCTAACTTAGCGCCTGACCATGCACAGAAAAAGCGGTTTCTCTGCGCGGATCACTTTGCAAGGCCTGCATTTTCAAATGCAGACCCAAAAAAGAAAAATCGCCTGAAATGTGATGCCGTGCCTTCGGTTTGTGAATCGGATCCCCGACTCCAGCTTTTAGTACCATCAGGCAAGTTTCGATCGTTAATGTGCACTTGTTGAGGAAGGCACAAAAGTTGTGAGGTGCATGCGTGATGCACATAATAAATAGAAAAGCTCTTGTTTTTTTGCAGGTATTTAGAGTATCTTTGATTGTATTTCGTGCTGATAGGGTTTTGCAAATATATATTTATCTCTCGTGTTTTGCATTGTCCACTATATCTTCCTGCATTTTGTTGTGTTTACATATGATGTGAATTACTGTTCTAGATTTTTTGTACAAATGTGTGAAAATAATAAATCATGAATGAAATGTACATGCGTTCATCCTTGTCTCCGCCTCACGGCAGAAGCAGCTATATGAAGCTGTCTTGCTGTGATAAGCAACCAATCTAAATCAATGCTCCAGTGCATGTTGGAGCGGGAAGAGAAACGAAAATAAAGGGGTGGGGGCGGAGGGGGGGGGGGGGGGGGGGAGGGGGGCAAGCGGAGCGCGCGCGCGCGCCGTAAAGGACAACTTGCGCCATCTGTGGGAACGTGTATCGACTGAAGATAGCGTACGGACTCCCTTACCACCCTCTCCATCTATTACTTTCGTTCTCCTCTTCGTTCGCTCTTTTTCTTTTCTCCTCGCGCCTTCGCTCGTTCAGCCATCGGGGAGCGCGTTACAATAGCCAAAGCTACGGCTGCGCAGGCCTGAGGGCGTTGTATTGTGGGAGTCGCAGGCTGGACGATTGAACAAAGTGGATTAAGCAATGGCGGCGGACAACGGGCGTGGGGCCTCTACCTCAGAACTGTTGTTTGCGCTACCGACGAGTCTGTCTAGCTTTGAAAGAGAAGTCGCAATTAGGATTTATTTCGTACAACACGCCCGACCACAAAGCTGATTTGCATGAAGACGTCACCGAATCGTCGCCCTTTCTCCTGGCTGAAGACATCGCTCGTTTTATGAACACGAATCGGTAAGAGCTTGAAAAACTTGCAAATGTCAAGCACGATGTGCTTGACTTCTGCATTTTTCATGCGGCGTGTTACGTGCACATTTTTCGTCGCCTGTGCACTGCCAAAAAAACCAAGGGAAATAAAGGAAAAATGCAGTCGGTGTACCCACGAGACTTCCGGCAACTCTCTCCTTCTCTACATTTCTTCTTCCTCCCCAGTTTAGTATCAGTTTCAAGCAGTTGCATTGTTTTCTTTATTGAAAATATATGTGATGCCATAGCAAAATATTGATGAGGTAATCTTCTGACACCCTATTAATTAAATTGCATAACAAAAAATTAAAAAAATTTTTTTGAGAGGTATTAGTTTTCTTAATGACCAGTGCCCCTTTATGGAAATACCCGTTTAACGAAGAGGACGGAAGTCCCAGCCTATTCTCAATGGTCTGAATTCAGTGGTGCGACATTTTGTCTTCCACCTTTGCCACTAAATTTAGCGGGAAAGTGTGAGAAGGCATCTCCAGTATCTCGGTCATGGCAAAACAATGAAGGAGCAAACTCCCGCGCACATTTCGTGAGTAGTGTTGAATAGGATGTCGTGTAGGACGGCGGCAAAGTTAAACCGAACATGATTGCATTGTGTGGTGCCTTTAATCTCTACAGGCCAAGGGGAAGTAATTTTGTTTGCATATCTGACTCGCGCAGAGAGCCGGAAGGGGAGTTTCCGTGGGAAGTCTGGGACGCCTTTTCCGGACGTCGGATGGAACTCCTCTGACTTCGACCTGTACATCGAGACGGTGGTCATGGCCAAGCGCCAGGTGGTGGACTTTACCGACGAAATGTGGAATGTCTTGTCCGGTGAGAAACCCCGAATCGCACTTAACAAACCGGTTTTCTTTTCATACTTTGCATCTTTGAGTTTTGGCCTGCTTCTAAAAGGGATACGTAAATGGAATTTTCTTGCATTTCTGTCTTCATTGATGTTAGAGCTGTGGTGTTTGATCACTTTGAATGTAGTACGTCTTAGGGTTTGAAAGGTGGGAAATGATCTTGGATACAAGTTGAGCGATTATTGGCTTACGCCCGGCGAAGCAACATCGAATTGTTGCGCCTTGCGTCTTTCCTATGGAGTCACGTGACTTGAAATTTCTGCACACTCGTAGGAGCAGTTAGGTGTTGCTCTTACAAGATGGGTAGTTCACCCTTGCATGTTGTCCAAGCTTTTGATGATAAAAAAAAAATAAAAATATAGTTTACCCTGGAATTAGGGTTATTTGGGTTCGCACAGTGCAGTTTGTGGCACGAGATGGGGCATCCGAGTTTTGACAGCTATAGCTGCTATTCAGACAGCTTCGAAGATGACTAAATAAATAGTCTCGTTTGTCATTCCACTAATAGGCCATCAGTGGTCTGAACTGTGGCAGTGAATGTATCTGTAGTCGGTGACAGGATTGCAGCAGGAGGTATGCCTCCAGCACGTACTCATTGCCTTACCTCGGGCTATGGCTGCGTGTGCACCAAAGTGTTATCAAATACATAAAGCTCCCGCTGGAGGCAGAGCATCTACTGCATTCCTAACCTGTTACCAACTATAGCTGTCAATATATCTGCTCCGTCGGGGAATATAGCCGTCCATGCAAGGGATTGTGGGTGTCGTCCGTTGCTTGATCAAACATTGATCTTGCGACGATCCGTTGACAAAAGAAGACAAGAAATAATGGAAAGCCAAGTTATAGCTACCAGAGGGGATGTGTGCGTAAGTGCTCCATCGGTAAACTTGTCAGTGAAAGAACTTCACTACCTGCATTTTTGCCGATCCACCTTTCAGAATATTACAATGTTGGTGCAATAACCGGTTCTTCTTTGTTGTGGCTACTGAAGTTGTTGAACGTACCAAGAGTACCGAAACTCCAGAACTTTGTTTTGGAGCCGTGTCGCAGCTCTGCAAATGTGCGGGTGAATCGATGTGGCGGCATTTCTTGGGTGGTGTAGTCGCCTATTTGGATGTGCTGCCGACTAATGCCAGAAGCACTGAGGTTGCGCCGTGCGCTGGCACTGAGCTTTAGTTTGTGAGGGGGGTACCGAGTCAGGTTTTAGATCTAACAGGCGATTTTCTGAAACTTTTGATAGCACTTACTTCAGCTCAGCGCACATCTCTGTAATGTACAATTTTCAGATGCTTTGGCTCACTTGCTTTTGGCATTCAAGATTTTATTTTTCCAGAGCTGCCTGTCACCTTACCTTTCTGTATCCCATGATACAGTATAGACGACTTACAACGTAACCGCTTATAGTGCAGGACCGGGTATAACGCGGCTTTTTTAAACCACCGGTTCGCCTCCCATAGAACTCCATGTAATTACATACCGCTTAAAATGCAGGCGCGCGAAGGGAAATATTGGTTATAGTGCGGTTTCAGGAACAGCCCGCCGACCGCACCGAACCGACCGGTGCAGCGAGCACGCTTCCCTGTGCGACACTAGATAACGGCGCTAGCCGCAAGCGGCACTCGCGGGGCAAGGAGGTTGCTCGAAGAAGCGGGGAGAAGGGAAGAGAGAGGCTTCAGTTGCTATAGCGACGGAGGAACGCACGCATGTGTCGTTCACGTGCGTGCGTCCCTCCGCTGCGTTGGAAACAACCGCAACAACAGACCAATCGCAGGTCGAGAACTGGTCGCGCGCGTTGCATGCCGGTCGCGGACCGGCTTCTATCCGCAAACATGGCGTCGGTTGTGATCGTCGACGTAGACGGCGTGGTGGAAGCTCATCGTTCCGCGTAAAAGCGCTATCCTTGACTGTGAATTTTCGTTGTGTGTCGCTATGATAACCCAGCACGTACTAGAAGGGAAGATCCACCTACCCGTGCGGCGATGTCGTGGTGGCACTCTCAAGACGGCAGAAACGCCCGTGTCGTCGTATTTGTTTACTTTGACTACAGTGGTGCTTTCTAAGCATTTGTGTTTTCGAACATCGCCCAGATTTTTTATTTGGAGCATTTCATGCATGTCCTCAAATTGAAGGTATTACTGGCGCGTACCATATAAAGGGTGCGAATTTTCACGCGTTTTCATCGCCGGAGAAAAGTGATTAGGGTTAGCAATCCTGAACGCTCGCAACGTCTGTCCGCAACCCGCGACGCTGTTAAAAGGCTGTGCCAGGCAAAAGTCACTAATTTTTTTCAAAATGTGTGACACACTTGAGAGAGAAGTGTACCGGTCTGGTGAAATAAGGACTTTCCTTTTTAATGCTAATATGTTAAAATTAGGGATCTGTTTCAAGCTGGTAATCGGGGGGACATCAGGGTTTTCCAGCTCCGATTGCCATCAGTCGCTTTAAGGGAAGCACCTCCCATGGAATCCTCCTCTTCCTCAGGTGTCAACAAGAATCCCGACCATTCGAGGGACGGTCGTTTTCAATCAGATATTTAGCTATGGAATAAACCTATTAAGTTGTCCCAATCTGTTTGCGCGACTGACTGGCTCGGACGTTGTTCGTGAGAAAGGTAGACCACCAGCGAAATGGCCATGCTACCCGAGAGACCCTGCTGGGTGTCGACACTTAACAGAGCTCAAAGGGGGATTGATAGTGCATTTCACAAGCTGCGTGCAGCAAGGCCAAAGCTGTGTGGCGTGCGGAGGTGGTTTCACGTGCACAGCAGGGGGACGGAATTGTCCCTCCGAGGCCCCAACGCCTATTGTTGCTTTTCTTGAGCCAACCTTTGTAGAATGTCACGATGAGTTAGGCGCGCCCCGTTGGGCGGTTGGTTGAGAGCCGTGTAGCGTCCACAGTGCTGCACACAGCTTGCGAAATGAACTATAGGTCACTGTTGTCCCGAGGTAGGGTAGCTAGCGCGTGTGCACCGAAAACTCCGTGTGGCGTAAAAATAAATAGGTTGGTGATGTGGTTTTGGAATTCGGGTAGAAATTGGGTTTAACCCGAGTTTCCTGAAACATGTTCAAGATGTAAAAATCGGGTAAAATCGGGAAAACGAACAACCCTAACTATAATATGTGTATTGCGGCAAGCAAAGTGTCCTTCGTTTGTCCAGCACTTGAAACTAATATTTTTATTTTTCTAAGAATATCTGCTCCAAAAGGTGCTCCAAAACGGCTTAGGCCAATCACATCACTGTAAGTTCATCATTTGATATTTTTACACAAAAAATTCACCTAACTGCACCATTGTACTAAATCAAAGCATGATGGGTTGAGAAACCAACTTTTGCAGTCGGTTTAGAACGGGTTATACCTATTGGGTCGTAGTTTAAACCTCACACGGGATCTTGCAGAGTTGCCAAATTGTTTTGCTGAGGGCTGAAGCTGGCTGCCTTCCTTTTGTCCGTCCCCAGGCTGTTCCTCCTTCCAAGAGCTCAAGGACGGCCTGACCATGGTCTTCAGGGCAGTCCAGGCGGGAGAGAGCAGGCCATTGGTGAGCGGGACTGTCGCACTGTTGTTCCTGACTTATTGATGGATTAGACGAGACATAGATGTATCATTGGGAAAGCTGTTTGCGAGAGGAGGCAAACAATAATATATACTCACAACTACGTACATACAAACAAGGGTCAAAATTACAAGTTAACCCTTTCATGGTCACTGACGTACCCGTACGTCAGCGCGGGTGTGTCCCGCATGGTTGCTGATGTACATGTACGTCCGCGACTGCTCATTCAAAAATTCCCCTTCTGCATGAACGGGCGCGCTTGTGGGGACGTGCTGCCATCTCATAGGGTTGTAGGGAACTACGACCGCATATCTCCCGTCGTGTTTGTTTTGGAGGGGCTTTTGAAATTGCGAAACTGGACGCTCTGTGCACACAATAACTTTCGAGATGGCTGCGCGTGCCAGCTGCTCCGGAGGCAGCGGAGATTGGAGCGATGGCTCTTCGGATTCAGATTTTGAACCCTTCTCGCACTCTGAGTCGGATGACAGCTCGACATCCGACGAACAACTGCAAACCAGCTCAAAATCAAAGTCTGACACAGCCGCATCGTCTGCTGGACCGTCTTGGAAGCGGGAGCGTCAAAACGAAACCGACTGGAAAAAAGGTGAAGACTTCTCCCATCTATATTTTCATTTGATGCATCGCATTCCGGACTGCCTGCAGGCACTCTACTCCAGCCAGATGCGAAAGAAGAGATTATTTTAAACTACTTCGACGAGGGAGTTGTGTCTTTGATTGCAGACGAGACGAACGACTGCACACACCAGCTGATTGCGCTGCCCGACCTCGCACGGAAATCGCGACTGAAAGCATGGGTAGACATTGGTCTCGCTGAGATCTACTGCTTTCCGGCAGCTGTTCTGCTGATGGGGCTCGTCCGAAAAAATGCTGTGAGGGATTACTGGACCACCGACCCAATGACTGAGACCCCTTTTCTTTCAAGGCTTTTCTCAGTAAATCGCTTCTGCCTTTTGCTGAGAGTGCTTCATTTCAGTGCCAGCACTGATGCAGCAGATTAACTAAGAAAAATCAGGCCACTCATGGAGACACTTCAGGCAAAGTTAGCGAGTCTCCTGGTCCCATACCAAGATCTCTGTATCGATGAGTCGATGATGCCCTGGAGAGGACGTCTTTCATTTCGCCAGTACCTCCCTTCAAAAAGGCACCGTTTTGGAGTGAAGATGTTTGTTCTGTGCGACGTGATGACCGGATGCATCTTGAGGTTCATTGTGTATACCAAAGCTTCTGCGACAATGACGATGATGAAGGAGTTGGGATTTTCGGGCTCGGTTGTCCTCGAGTTGCTCAACCACTATCTCGGAAAGGGGCATTCTCTTTTTGTGGACAACTGGTACACCAGTCCGGCAATTTTCCAATACCTTTAAGGGAAGCAAACCAATGCTTGCGGTACAGTTCGACAGAACAGGAAGGGACTTTCCAAGTTAAAAAAAAAGATAAGAAGGGGAGAACTAGAGTCATTTTACATTGATGCACGTCTGGCACTGAAGTGGTGTGACAAAAGGGAAATGCATATGTTGTCCTCAGTGCATGGAGCTCATCTTGACGACACTGGCAAGGTGGACAGAAGAACAGGCACTCCAGAGAAAAAGCCAGCATGTGTACTCGAGTTTAACCAGAAGATGGTACTCGTGGACAAAGTAGACATGCAGCTAAGCTTCACTGAAAGCATCAGGAAGACGCTGAAGTGGTACAAGAAGTTTTTTTTTTCACCTTCTGGATATGTCCTTGTTGAATTCATTCGTTCTTCACTGTGAAAGGAGATCATGTTTGCCGAGTTGAGAAGAAGGGTCGTATACCAGCTCGTTGAGGAGCATCACACTGAGAGGTGGAAGAGTGGAAGGCCCAGTGGAGACATCCCAACGAGGCTGATAGCCCGACACTTGCTCGAAAGGGTGCCACAAACCTCGGCAAAAGGTAGCCGCACTCAACCAAGGTGCCACGTGTGTGCCAACACAGCTCTCAGACCGAAGCAAAGAAAGGACACAAGGTTCATGTGCGCCGCCTGTGACAAGGGTCTGTGTGTGGAACCCTGCTTCAAGGACTACCACACTTTGAAGAAGTACTAGAAAGTTGACAAATCAAAATTTTTAGTCCTTTTTGTTTTGTTCTACCTCGAGCGAGCGTGCCACAGATCTTTCGAAGTGTGTGTTACTATTTATTTTAAGTCTTACATTTTTTTATGCTACAATAAACTAGTGGATTCTCTTTGCTATCACATTGAGTAAAAAAAACCCGACCATGAAAGGGTTAAAGGGACACTGACAGGATATTTATGCTCGCCGAGGATTTTAGTTGTACGTGGCATATGAAAGCCTAACTGCCCAGAACAGAATTTGTGGCTCGAAATTCGGTTTCTTTCCGCCCGAATACTGCCATTCGAGAACTGGCCGGTTTGAGTCGCGCTCACTCTCTTTTTTGTGGTCAATGACCACTTTCTAAGGTTTAGACACAACCACCAAATTTAATCAAAGTTGTTGGTCATTGAAGGCACACACTTTATATTAAAAATAAAAAATAAAAAAAAATATGAAACCCATTTTTTGTGGGTTTTACCAATACAGTGTAGACCGCATATAACGTATGTCTCGGGAGTCGCGAAAATCCGCACTATAAGCGGTACCGCGCTATAACCAAAACATCAATTTTTCATGCCAAAATACATGCCATGAAACAACTTACCTTTGTAAAAGAATTTATTTTTATGTTAGATGAAAAATAAAGCTTAGTTTGAGGAAAGTCTTTATTTCACCAGGCTAGTACAGTTCTGTCTCAAGTGTGTCACACATTTTGAAAGAAATGAGCGGCTTTTGCCTGGCGCAGCCTTTTAACAGCGTCACGGGTTGCGGACGGACGTTGCGAGCGTTCAGGATTGCTAACCCTAATCACTTTTCTCCGGAGATGAAAACGCGTGAAAATTCGCATCCTTCATACGGTACGCGCCAATAATACCTTGAACTTGAGCAGACGCATGAAATGCGCCAAATAAGAAATCCGGGCGATGTTCGAGGACACAAATGCTTTGAAATCACCACTGTAGTCGAAGTAAACAAACACGACGACACGGCCGTTTCTGCCGTCTTGAGAGCGCCGCCACGACATCGCCGCACGAGTAGGTGGATCTTCCCTTCTAGTACTACGTGCTGGGTTATCACAGCGACACACAACGAAAATTCACAGTCAAGGATAGCGCTTTTACGCGGAACGATGAGATGAACGCCGTCTACGACGACGATCACAACCGACACCATGTTTACGGATAGAAGCAGCCGGCCCAGCCGTAAGCCGGCCCGCGACCGGAGAGGAGGAGGAGGAGGAGAAGCGTTGTAAGAGAGGTTGGGGGGGGGGGGGAATGGAGAGAGCATGCAACGCGCGCGAACACTTCTCCTCGACCTGCGATTGGTCTGTCGTTGCGGTTGTTTGTTTCTTTGTTTCCAACGCGTGCGTCCCTCCGTCGCTAAGGCAACTGAAGCCTCTCTCTTCGCTTCTGCCCGCTTTTTCGAGCAACATCCTTGCCCCACTAGTGCAGCGTGCGTCCCTCCGTCGCTAAGGCAACTGAAGCCTCTCTCTTCGCTTCTGCCCGCTTTTTCGAGCAACATCCTTGCCCCGCTAGTGCAGCGTGCGTCCCTCCGTCGCTAAGGCAACTGAAGCCTCTCTCTTCGCTTCTGCCCGCTTTTTCGAGCAACATCCTTGCCCCGCTAGTGCAGCGTGCGTCCCTCCGTCGCTAAGGCAACTGAAGCCTCTCTCTTCGCTTCTGCCCGCTTTTTCGAGCAACATCCTTGCCCCGCTAGTGCAGCGTGCGTCCCTCCGTCGCTAAGGCAACTGAAGCCTCTCTCTTCGCTTCTGCCCGCTTTTTCGAGCAACATCCTTGCCCCGCTAGTGCAGCGTGCGTCCCTCCGTCGCTAAGGCAACTGAAGCCTCTCTCTTCGCTTCTGCCCGCTTTTTCGAGCAACATCCTTGCCCCGCTAGTGCAGCGTGCGTCCCTCCGTCGCTAAGGCAACTGAAGCCTCTCTCTTCGCTTCTGCGTGCAGCGTGCGGCTCGCGCCGTCAGCGCCGTTATCTAGTGTCGCACAGGGAAGCGAGCTCGCTGCTCCGGTCGTCGGCGCGGTCGGCGGGCTCTGCCAAAAACCGCACTATAACCGGTATTTCCCTTCGCGCGCCTGCATTTTAAGCGGTTTGTAATTACATGGAGTTCTATGGGAGGTGAACCGGTGGTTTAAAAAAACCGCGTTATACCCGGTCCTGCACTATAAGCGGTTACGTTGTAAGTGGTCTATACTGTACGTTGATACAAAAAAAAGGGTTGCACAGAGAACCAAAAGCGTCGTTTCGCGTATCGTAGGGCTCGTGGTGACTACGATGGCAGCGGACAATGGGCGTGGAACCTCGACTTCAGAACTGTCGTTCGTGGTACCTGCGAATTCTGTGTTCCTTTGAAAGAGAAATTTTGAACCGATCAAAAGAATTGGTATTCATCCTGTATGACACGCCCAACCACCAAGCTGATTTGCACAAAGACGTCGCCGACCCGTCGCCCTCTTCCCGTGGTGACATCGCTCGCGCAAACATCAAGCATGAAGTGCGTACTTCAAGTTAAATATGCACGCGTACAATCTTCAGTAGGTGCGAATGTGGCCAGTGCGTGGGGCTGCCCAACTCTGACTTGGGAGTGCTTTTACTGAAGGAAAATCGGCAGCAAAACTTTCCAACCTGCAGTTGACCAGCTGCATTATTAGGGAGTCTTAGAATAGCGCACGCTAAAGCCTTGCGTACGCAAAAAATAGCGTCGTCGCCACTGCTCATGCTCCGAACGCAAACCAGGTTTTGCGCTTTGTGTGCGCAATTTTAGCGTGCGCTATTTCTCGGAAATAGTGTGCGTACGCAAAAAGTCTTTGCGCTTCTCCAAGGAGGATTCGTGATGAGAAGTTGGCTAAAGCCAAGACTAGCACAGTTAAAAAAATGGCGGC